AGGACACTATTGCTTATTGTTGTGGGGTCTCCAAGATGGAAACGCGAGAAATCACCTGTGCCGGCTATACACTTCCTGTCAAGGTGACTGTGGAGTGTGGCTGCCAGAAGTGCACCAAGGTCAAGGTCACTGTGCGAGGAAGAGCTGTGGCTTCTGATACGGGAGAGCCCATGCGGTTTGGTCATATCTATATGGGGAACAACAGGATCAGCATGACGGGCTATAAAGGCACCTTTTCTGTGCAAGTGCCCCCAGACACCGAGAGACTGGTCCTCACCTTTGTGGACCGCCTGCAGAAGTTTGTAAACACAACCAAAGTGTTGCCGTTCAACAAAAATGGCGGGACGGTTTTCCACGAGATCAGGATGTTAAGGAAAAAGCCACCGGTCACACTAGAATCCACGGAGACCAATATGATTTCCTTGGGAGAAATGGAGGGAGAAGATCCAGTAGCTGAACTTGAAATCCCTCCCAATACGTTTTACAGACTGAACGGAGAACTCTACGCCGGGAAAGTGAAAGCCAGCGTGACTTTCCTGGACCCCAGAAATGTCTCCAGTGCAGCCACGGCACAGTCTGACTTGAATTTTGTAGATGCTGAAGGAGATATGCTTCCTCTGCGGACGTACGGCATGTTTTCTATGGACTTCACGGATGAAACAGCCACAGAATCACTCAATGCGGGCCAAGTGAAGATCCACCTGGACTCTGCTCAGATCCAGATGCCTGAACATCTGCAAGGGATGAAACTTTGGTCTCTGAATCCGCAAACAGGTTTGTGGGAGGAAGAAGGGGATTTTGAACTGGACCACAGCAGGCGTGGAAAGAGAGAGGAGAGGACGTTTCTGGTGGGCAACATGGAGATACGAGAAAGAAGGCTTTTCAACTTGGATGTTCCTGAAAACAGACGGTGCTACATCAAGGTGCGTGCTTACCGAAGCGAGAGATACTTGCCCAGTGAACAGGTTGCCGGTGTGGTTGTTTCTGTTATCAACTTAGAACCAACCCCAGGATATTCTACCAACCCTAGAGCTTGGGGACGCTTTGACAGTGCCGTCACTGGCTCTAGTGGTGTTTGTGTCCCAGCTTTCTGTGATGACCAAAATCCAGAGGCCTACAGTGCCTACGTCATGGCTAGTCTTGGGGCAGAAGAACTTGAAGCAGTTGCCTCCTCTCCCCAACTTAACCCTTTCGCTGTGGGAGTGCGACAACCGTACCTCAACAAGCTCAAGTACAGGAGAACAGATCATCTGGATCCCAACGTGAAGAAAACAGCGTTCAGGATCAGTGTGGCCAAGCCTACTCCCAACATCGCTGAAGAGGGCAACGGTCCCATATATCCATATGAAAAGCTATATGAATGTGAAGTTGCTCTCCCCACTGCAGCTCACTTCAGGTTTTACAGAGTGGAAGGAGACAAATATGACTACAACACCATTCCTTTTAATGAAGATGACCCGATGAACTGGACGGAAGATTACTTGGCTTGGTGGCCCAAGCCAATGGAATTCAGGGCGTGTTATATTAAAGTGAGGATCAACGGGCCCCTTGAAGTGATTGTGAGATCTCGCAACACAGGGGGCACCCATCCATGGACTGTCGGCCAGTTGTATGGCATCAGAGATGTGAGGAGCATCCGTGCTCTGGATCATTCTAACCTTTCAACAGCGTGTCTAGAATTCAAGTGCAGTGGCATGCTGTATGACCAAGAACGCGTTGATCGGACGCTGGTGAAGATCATCCCCCAGGGCAGCTGTTACAGGGAGAACGTGAACAACATGTTGCATGAATATCTGGTAAACCATCTCCCAGTTGCAGTGAATAATGACTCCAGCCAATATACCATGTTGGCTCCTCTCGATCCGCTTGGTCACAACTATGGGATCTATACCGTGACTGATCAAGATCCTCGGACAGCCAAAGAAATAGCTCTGGGACGATGTTTTGATGGGACATCTGATAGCTCTTCAAGAATTATGAAGAGCAACGTGGGCATAGCATTAACATTCAATTGTCATGAAAAAGACACTCGAGAAAACGTATTCCAGTCTCTACGGAACGTGCCCAGCAGGTTTCCAGCAAGCCCTTCTAGAGAGAGAACTGGAGTAAGAAGACGAAGTGAAATTCCTCTGGTTAGAGTCACACAAAAAGTCCAGTAAGCTTTGGTCCCCCTTGCTCCTGAAGGGCAGCATGTGAGAACCCCAGGCCCTCCTGTTAATTCACGAACTAGAGACGAGCCCGTATGACAACACACATCCTTCCCAATACTTTTTAAGAAGAGTTTTTACTAAACGGTTTTGCACATGCCATAAGAAATATATACCAAGAAAAGAAAAAAAAACAGTAAATATGAAAAAAGACAAGCAAGTAAAAGAAAGAAAAAAAGCAGATAATTCTTGCCAATATTGATGGGTATGGGAAAGTTCTGCTCATGCAATGCTTTGCGTGTCCTTCACGGTATTTCATTGGCCTTCAGGGGTCCTCAAAGACATGCAAGAAGCATCTTCAAAGAGCCAATGATGAATCAGACTAGGTTTTCCCTTCTGGCACCATCCAGGCGTGTTGACTTCCATCATATTAATTCCCAAGTAGCATGGAAGTTGTTCCTCATACCAGGAAGAGACGGAGAGTCTTTAACTTCAATTAGCGCCCAAAGTTACAACAGCCCTGACAAGTCCTTGCACTTACGACTGTAGCAGCATCCTCACAGTTGTGGGAGCAAAATTCAAGCGCTTGGCAACCGACATGTATTTACAATGGTTGTAGCACCCGGGAATCACATGATCACCATTTGCGACCCTGCCAGCTGGCTTCCAACAACAAAATCAAGGGGGGGAGGGAAGCTGGACGCACTTATTGATCATGTGATTCACTAAGCAATTGCAGTGAATTGAATAAGCATAGCAAAAAAGTCATAAAATCAGATGTGTACACTTAACAACTGCTTTACTTAGCAGTAGAAATTCTGGCCGCAGCTGTGTCGAGGATTAACTGTGCCAGACTGGAGGCATTCAAATTATACGTTTCTTTAAAAAAATAGGCAGCTGGTAGCTAATAATACCTATATAAAATTGAGTCATTTACATTTGGGGTATTAAAAGCCATGATTTCTGGGGAATCACAGCACCTCTAGGGCTGGATTCTCCTCAATGGGATGCTAAACTTGTTTTATATTGAATAAACCACCATTGGTTGGGTTTGCACAGTATATTAAACCACAATGCTATTGCTTTGGCTTTGGCTTAACAAGTTGAAAGGGGCAGCATTGATGACTTACTGCCTGAAAGAAATTATTGAATTCAGCAATAAAATTAAACATGATAAATTTACGTGCTTTATTTTTTTAAATGTTTTGCAAATGGCTACATATCTGCCAATAGGAATGGCTCCCTCTACTACAGCCCAGGCCACCAGTAAATGCCTTTTGAGTTAAAATTTGCTGATCTGAAACAGCACCAGTTTTAGAATATGATACTTAAAAATATTGCTGGTGCGAACCGGCTGAATCTCATCACTGCCATTACTGGAGGGTGGAAAATGAGATCTAATTATAGGACCGTTATTGAAGGCACGGTACCACTCATTCAGGAGTTTGCCTTTCTCACTGGATGGGGTGTGTGTGTGTGTGTGTGTGTGTGTTTCATTGCAACAGAGACTGTGGGTGTAAGTGAAAAACAACATAGTAGCCACTCTGTCTCTTGCAAAAACCGTTGCCACTAAGGGCAGCCCATTAGATAGGGCAGGAAAAAGCTGCAAAAGGAGATGTTGTGAGGACTTCTGTGTACAGCTGTGTGTGCCTACTCTTCTCTATCCCCACTGGCTACAATTCTTAGCTTTTCTTCAATGAAGTTTACTTACCAAGAGTTCTTGAATTCTCATCTTGGAAATTCTGGATTCTGAAGGGCATTAGGAACAGATTTCTACATTATATTACACAAGTCGGCATTCTAAAATATCAGCCATTGCAACGATTTGCGTGACACACCTATGCAAACATGTACAAAAACCATTTATTGTTCAAGAATACAACAAGTGTCCTTAACTTAGTGAATCCTGCTCAGCTGTATTTTAAGTTGGAAAAAGATGGATCCAGAAGCGGAAAATACAGTTCCTGAAAAAAATCAGACTTGCAAGGCTGAGAGTGTTTTGAAGCTTTAAATAGAAAGAATAAACACACTGTTCAGGTTACTAGTCCTTTGTGTTATCCACTCCACAATATCACCTGCATAGCATTGTCTTTGCCATTATTTATTTTCTTCCATTGCTGTTTTCTGTCAGTCAATTCTAGGGCAAATTTCACCCAAGGATGAGATGTTTCCAACTTGCCTCTTCTATGAGGCAATGTACCAGAGTTGGTACTTTCACATATTACTGAAAATTGTATCAGAATTATTCTGCATACTCAGTGAACCTTTTAACTTCTTTTTCACTGGGGTCAGCTTGAGTGTTTGAAACCGGCAATTCTTGACAGCTGTTTGAGAATTGTTCTGTGGCCAAGAATGTAAGTAGCCATTGTAGAAGTCAGTTGCTGTCAATTTCTTTTTATGTATAATAGTTTTGACTCCAACCCAACCTTCCTAGAAAGGGAAAAGAGGGGAGAGAAGGCACCCACACACACAAAAAGCTGAACAAAATCTGCAAACCCATCAGGAGTGATTCCATTGCAAGAAGCTTAGGTGGAGTCTAATATGGGATCCAGCTTCCTGGCATTGTTAGATTCCAATTTAAAAAACACATTTTTGATTTGTAAAGGGCAACTTAGAAAACCTATGGACACTCTTCAGAGGAGACCAGGGGACTGAGTTGATAAGATTTCAATACTAACAATTTGTTACTCTCAGTTGTGAGGAGGGACAGTACAACTAAATAAATGCAACACAGGCTGTATTTGACTGGCATTCTCTTTCCTCATCTCTCCAATGAAATGGAAACGGCACATTTTGAGAGCCCATCTGCCTTTAAAAGGAGTAAGAATATCACGTGTACACACAAAAGCTTACCTTGCACCGGATCACCAGGATCTTTAATTGTTTGTGGTACAACACCAACCCTGGAATTGCCTCTTTCTCAGCTACAACTTTATCTGTAGGACATATAAACAGTTAGGCCATTCTTGCCTCTGCAACAGTAAAATCCAAGTTCTAAAGTGTCACGAAAATCATATTTGGGTTAACTCTTATGGGGGAAGGCTGATTAGCTTAAATAAAACAAACGATCGAACATATGATTACCACTATTACTTGTATATAAATTGAGAGGTTATGCAACGAAAACAAATTCCCTGTGTGTCCAACCACACTTAGCCAATAAAGAATTCTATTCTATTCTATATTTTTTCTATATTTTCTTTTTTCTATTCTATTCTTCTTCCTCTATTCCATTCCATTCCATTCTACTCTACTCTATTCCAAATTCTATTCTATTTTAAATTCTATTCTATTCTATTCTATTCTATTCGCAATTTCCTATACATCGTCACAGAGGGCAACTGAAAGAGAATATTCCTCACTTTTCTTTGTAGGTATCAAACACAGAGCAATTCTTTTCATGCCACATTTTTCTACAGATCAAAGACAAGGACTTTAATGTTCCTAGAAAGAAGAATACACTTAAGCAGTCTGATTCCAACAAGAAAAAAAGAGGATTTGCAACAGAGGAAGTCAAAATGTGTTCAGTTTCACAGACCATCTATTGTTATTTGGACACTGCCACTATTAAGATACTCTTGATCAGAGTGCTAAGAGTTTCTCATAAGTACCAGTAAAATCTGGTAGAATTTCCTCTTCTTCAAAGTCCAATAGTTTTACACTGGAACCCATCCACAGCGTCTTTAGAGGCATCTAAAAACATACAGCACGGTATAAATTATATAGTTCCAGGTCACAGACATTTCAGTTAAATTATTCTTGTTCACTTAGAACACAGGCAAGAATAGAATCTAATTCCCACTTATGTCAAAGTTAACCGACTAGAATAGGGGTCTTCAAACTTGGCCCTTTTATGACTTGTGGACTTCAGCTCCCACGCCTGGCTGAGGAATTCTGGGAGTTGAAGTCCACAAGTCATAAAAGGGCCAAGTTTGAAGACCCCTGGACTAGAAGAACCAGGCCAGTTTTTCCTCCGGATCCTGAGGAAAGACAAAGGTGAACATTTTACCCACTGAAATGAATTTGGTTTAAGTAGGAAGCTACTCTACCAGATACTCTATTTCAACTGCATTTTAATTGGGAAGGAGCCCCAGCAGAACCAAAAGAATTTGCATTTTGTCTTTGCCAAGTTAAATTCTGAGAAGGAACTCAGAATTCAGTAAAAGGATCTCAAGTTCTTCTTACTCATTCGTATAGAGCCTATTTTGATGTAAACTTTACTTTATTCATCAAATAAAAAAAATCCTGCAATATTTGCCTATTTTAAAAAATTACACTGTTAATTCCAGAATATATAATTCTGTTCCCACCACCAACTCAATTTCATCCAAGGGCGGAAAATAAGATTATTTTTGTAAAAAGCTGCTTCTGAATTTAAATATATCGCTGATAAGCAACCACTTCTCTCAGAGGCTGACCTTACCATGGCTCCTAAGGCACGATGCATCCTTAGTATCTGCTCAGCAGTTTGTTCTTCCCATTGAATGCAGCTCATTGCAACAGTGACTTTAGGAGCTTTAGAGGAAAATAAAAGAAAAGCAACCTCTTTTGGCCCTGCAGCTTTACACATTTTAAATGTTCTTTTCCAATGTCCCAGTAACATTTAGAAGCAATTCCTTTCTCTTGACAAAGTAATAGGTGTTCCCTCTTCTTCCCTCTTCAAATTAAGGGACATTCGGCTTCCCTGACACTGACCTTTGACTGCCAAGTTTTCAACTTAATTACAAAGTATTCGAGTTTAATAGGGAGGAAGGAAGGCAGGGGAATCATGGAAAAAGTATTACGACGGTTTACTTAGCAATGGCTCATATCATAGCTAATTAATATCTACACTACACATGAAACTTGCGATAAATACCATTTGTTACTCCTTCTTTGGGTTGTTCTTTCTTCTTGGTTAAACTTTCAGGTAAGTTTTGCAAAACGGCAATCAGCTGAGAAAAAAAAATCCAGAATTTGTATAATGAAGAACAGATTCTCCTTCTAATCGACAGGGATTGCCAAGAGGCAGTACATGACCAATTTCATCTTTATTAGGATTTGTCAGATATAGATAGCCAGATCTTATTCTACGAGGTTCAAACCCTCTACTAGAAATTGACTGTTGAGCTTTAGGTGGCTATAACCAGTGAAATAGCTTCAGGAACTATCCAGATTGTATTACAGTTGTATTATAGCAAGGCATTTATAAATCTATCAGAATGGTTTACACCAATCCTGGCTAGGCAATTCTAGGAGCTGCAATCCATACACACTAAAGTTGCCAAGTTTGAAAAACACCAGTCTTTGCATTCTACCTTCTTTTAAGTTCTCAGGGAGAGATTGAGATTTTATTACAGATAATCCTTGACTTAAGACCGGTTGCTTAATGACTGTTCAAAATTACACTGGGCCCAGAAGAAGTGCTTTCCAGCTGATAATACATTTTTGGCATTTATTTGTATCTCCCGTAAGTGTTTTCGCCGGGCTAAGTAAGATTAAACAAAGGTATTCATTTACCATGTTTGCACCTTCCTTGGATAACAATGGCTCCAGTTCTTTTGCTGAGCAACGGGGTGGAATCGCAAATTCTTCTTGTTTTATAATTGGACCGACATCAAACCTGGAAATAAAACATATTGCAGATATGCTTTTTGTCAGGTTCTGCATGGGATGTAAAAAACCTAGAAAGAGGTAGTGGAGAGACTGAACAGAGAACCCAACTGCTGCATTGATACAATTATTTAAAAAAGGATTTTAGTAATGAGCTTTGGATCTTAGAATTATAGGATTGGAAGAGACCTTGGAGATCTTCTAGTTCAATCTCATGCCTTGTGCAGAAGTCTTCAAACCATTTTGGGCAAAATGTTGTCCCGTCTTTTCTTGAAAACCTCCAGTAATGGAGCACACGCAACTTCAGAAGTGCAGGCTGTTTCACTGCTTAATAATTCTCACAGCCAGGTGTTTTGCAGACTGGATGCTGAATGAAACAGCCAACGTACCTCTTAGGTCTGATCTGCATAACTGTGACCCCGGTTACTGTATCTCCATGAAGCACGGTGTGGACAATTGGTGCAGGGCCACGCCACCGCGGAAGATAGCTGGGGTGGATATTCAGCATGCCGCTGTGTCAAAATATTGGGAAATTAGAACAATACTTGCAATAGGTAACATTTTCATTTATTGTATTTTTATGCTGCTGGATTTCAAAGTGACTTCCAGACATTTTTATGATAAAAAAATTACTTAAAAATTCAGCAATGTAATAAGCACAATATATAACACAGTGTAGAAGTGAAGAGTAATTTTTGATAGTGTTTTTTTTACTGATATCTCTGCAATTCTGACTTATTGCATGTTTTTCTTGACCTTGTGGTAAACTGCAATAAATTACTGATAGTCCTAATTTAGCCAATGCTTTATTTAGACAATATTCACAGTTATGAAGGGTGATGAAAAAATAACTTTGCAAGCAATCCTAGCAATCACAACCTTTGCAGGTGTACAATGCAAAGGAAAGCTGAAGTAACATTGTAAGCACAGTTGTGGTTTCACTTAGTGAATGCTTTGTCTTAAAGATCGAGTTGCTGGTCCCAACTGTGGTTGCTAAATGAGGAGTACCTGTACATTGTTTTTACAGCTGCATTGATTATTGTGCATATTTTACCCCAAAGCATATCAGCACTTGTTCATGACTAAATCAGTAAAGAATGTAACCTTAGAGATTATTAAAAACACTAAGCAAAGTATTTTAGCACAGTGAAAAAGAAAACCTTGCCAGGGAAAAATGAGAATGATATATTAGCTGAATTTCAGGCAAAAACTGTAGGAACTTCAAATCGTTACCACTCTTGATCAGAAGTAGTCAGGTCGGTGCCTGATTTGAATAACTCCCATAAAACTCTATGGCCATGAAAACGGTATCAACCTGTATTACTGAACAGCAATTTTGAGCTTCTTCTGCCATAGTTGATGACAGCTGCGGTTCAGAAACATTTGCAGTGCTACAGGTTCCTCAATCCCCCTACACTTTGCACTGGAAATTTATTTTTAGAAGCATCCGTAAATTTATGGGCAAATTTATTGCCCACTAGATGACATAAGTTGCAAACATTACAACAAATTAGATACCTATGCAGGAATTGTTATAAGGAACTTGGCCTGTCTACCCCTCAAACATTATAGAAGGCAGTATTTCCTTTAATGTAAAAGTAAGAAATAGTTGTGTGAGGAATACACTAAGAAAATGAGTAGGGAGGGGGTGTTTGTGATAATTCTTACTAGGGGAACTTTAGGATGAGGTCCTCACTAAGCAAACGTCCAAATGATGCCACCACGCCAACGTCAAAATTCTCACAGGCACCTACATCTGGCCAGATGTGGACAGGAAGATGAAACTGCTCTGCATACTTCTTCACAGGAAGTACCTTTGAGTGACTGGGTGGCAGGGTCACCACCTCCAGGTGATCCACAAGGTGATCTGGCCTTGGCATTCTGCCCTTGCAGGGGATCAAAAACAAGACATGGACATCCTTTAAAAAGACTTAAATATTAAATGTACTATTTTAATACTTGGCTTCCCAAAGAAAGACAGGAAACTGCATTTTATCACAATAAAGTGCTTATTTTAGGAACCTTTATGTATTCACTTGGAAATTTGGGGAACCTTAAATTGTCCATTACCCAGACCTAGGTTTTAATGGCATTTCTATATTTAAAGCAAGTATTCCTCACATCTCAGCCTAAAGTCATGTGTTGGCTGACTTCAACCCTGCTGGGCTGATAGGAACGGGTTGGTCAGGGACTGCTGCCTGTTGCAGATGTGGCACCCCATCCCTGGACCTTCCCATTGATTCATCTCATTTGCTCTCCATTCATAAACTCATTTAAGAATAAAGGGGGGAGTGGGAGATTTTTGGTGTATTAAGCCAAGCACGGTTATGACACTCCTATGCCGTTGAATCAACTCAACTGCTTGCAGCACTGTTTCCCATCCTCAGCAACTGTCAGATGTTGTGTGGATTTCTTGTCTATGGAGAATCTCAAGCATCCAGGTGACGGTTGTCCCAAAGGTGCTTTTCCAAAAGGCAGCTGGACTTTCTTGCTTTTCTTTTTTTCTTCGAAAACGTTTCGCTTCTCATCCAAGAAGCTACTTCAAGTCTTCCTGGCCGTTTTCAAGGGGGGGGGGGAAACAGAACAAGAAAGTCCAGTTGCCTTTTGGAAAAGCACCTTTGGGCTGCGTGGACTTCAATTCCCAGAATTCCCCAGCCAGCATGTCTGGTTGGGGAATTCTGGGAGTTGAAGTTCACACCTGACAAATGCAAAGGTAGGGGGGGTCACCGACATTGGAGTGACCCTCAACTCCCCCCCCTTTCTCATTCCCTCGCCCCCCGCCCCTTGGGCTCCTCCACCCGGAAGACCCACCGGGCGGCCTGGAGCGCTCGGAGGATCTCTGTGGAGAAGTGGTCGGTGCCGAAGAAGAGGACTCGCCAGGGGGGCTTCTCGCGCCTCGGGGCCTCCCCCGCGGGGGTCGCGTGGCCCCTCCCGCGGCCCCCGCCCCACCCGCCCCGCCAGGCTCGCAAGAACCGCGCGCTCATGGCCGCCCCGGCAGCCGCTTCCGCGATCGGTTCGACGTCGCGCCCTGATGACGTAGAGGAGCTTGAGCGGCCGACGTTCCATCCCTGAGCGTACTCCAACGCGAGCTCGCCGCGAGGGCTTCTGGGATTGTTCTAGCCCTGAGCTTGTCGGGTAGCCATAGCAACCGGAGGCTCGCCGTACGCATGGCGACCTCTGGAGCCTTGCTAGGGAAGGCTATCCAGTTGCGCGTCAAAGCAGCCACGTTCAGACAAGTCGCTTGATTTAGTGACTCTTTTCTCGATTCCCACAAAGTTTATGCACCAGTTGCTATTGTTCACCCAATAAATACAATGAGCCACAAATAAACTAACCAGGGTTAGCAGGAAACGGGTTTAGCCTGCAAACGGAAGACTTGCCATTGTTTAGCAGGATGGTGGGAACCCAGCTTGAGTGTTAATGCCTCTTTGCAACAGGGAGAAAGCTGTATCCAACTGTTGCATTGCATTTCAGGCAGAAATTCAACAGGGAATGTTTGCTGAGAGAGGGATGATACCTGCTATTTCTTCCTAAAAGCTTAACAATCTGTAGGAATAGTTTTCAGCATTTAGATTTTCTTCATCAAGCAAGGGTTTCTTCATCAAGAAATTACTTTGATATAGATAGCAGTGGTGATTATGGTGAATCTTGAAGAGGGGTAGCTATTATAAGGGTTTAATCTATCCTGTGTTTAATTTTGGTGTGCCTGCATTTAAATTGAAGGTCTGTTTTAAACTGACTCCTGCTTTTAAGTTTCATGCAGATAAGGAATTGAGAATCAGAGTAATAACTGCAAACTTTTATGATTCTATTATCTTTGCTTTTTTACATTATTTTCTAAAACAAAATGATCAGGCTGCAGATCTTTGGGAACTTTACGTAATTTAAAGCATTAAAAAAACGGTCCTGCTTTTTGACATCCTTTTAAATTACCTTGCAACCCATGAGTGCATTATAAAACTATAGTTCAAAACTGTTGCTTATCTCCATTATAGAAATTCAATGTCTCTTAGGTTATAAACTAATAAGAGAAACAAATGAATTAATGTACGTTTTTCTTTTTTAAAAAGATAACTTTTAATGTCAAAAGATGTGACCCTAGACATGCATCCTCAGACATAAAGGCTACTGAGTGTAATGCATATATGATTACAAGCCTGGTTACTCTGTAACCAAGACCTAGGTTAAAGACCCTGCAAAGAGAACAGTTTCAAGGACTGATAAACCAAAGTAAATATACTAAATACAGATTGCACTTTCTTCTGAGGCATATCAAGGGCAAAAGTGGACAGAAATAAAATCTCCAAAGATATTCTTGGCATGATTCCTGCTGCTTAGTCAAGCAATAATGAAATGCAGTGCAGAATTCGTAGCAGGTTCTGATTGCTGATCTGAGAAAAATAGGAGAAATGCATCTAAATGCATATAACCTTCTGCCTGTATTCTCGAAGGAGATAAAATGAGCTGAGAATGAAGCTCATTGGGGGGGGGGGAATTGTGCCTGTTGAATATATGTATTTCTGTGCTGATGTCACGATTACCCCATTGGCAGTTTGAGTCAGAAATAAGAATATATAATATTCGGCAAAATATAATCTTTGAGGGTTGTTTTGCACAGTGGCCTCGTCCTATCAAGTCATGAAAAGCATAGCAGGGAAATTCTTTTGACCAGCTTCCTTCCCCCTTTTTTTTTTTTTTAAGGAAAGCCTTGTGGTCAACTCTTGATCCCCTTCTGCTTCTCTTCAGATCTTTCCCACTTGAAGCTGGCATGAAATTACTCATACTCCTTACCCAAAGTTCCAGCAGCCAATGGTCTAAAAAGTTAAGATGGCAGCTGCAATGCAAAATTATAGTTTTTTGAAAACTAAAATCCATTTTTTGTCTTTTGAGTGGCACGGGAGTGAGGGACACACCCTGAAAACTTCATTGGGAAACAGACAAATGTTGAAATATCATCCCTTCATCATGATGCAAACTATCCCTTATGCACTTATGATGCAAGTACAATCTAATGAAGCTTGCACTGTGATTTCACAATGCACGTTTCAGGATTTTGGCATCATTTTGGTTAGCAATAGAGACCTACAATAAATAGATACATGATTATTGCTTTATTTCATATTTTATTTATTATTAAATTTCTATCTTGCCCATCTCACCAAGGTGATTCATCTTTAAATAAAACGATGAAAGCAATTCCATTCTTTGGACATGCTAGGACACGGTGACATGTACAAAAAGAGTCGGGATTCTGTCAGGACGGCAACAGTGCTGCTTTCAACAAACAGATTAGTTTGACACAGAAACATAACCATACATCCATGGAAAATATTGGATGGATCAATAAACAGATAGGTAGAGATAGAAAGATGATAGAAAGAGAGAGCATGTGTCTAAAGCAGTGGTTCTCAAGCTTTTGAATGCCGCAACCCCCAACCGGTTGTAAGTCGCGGACTACTCAACCAGTCGTAAGTCGAGGACTACTCAACTGGTGCAGCACCGTTTGCAGAATGGGACTTTTGGCGGGCTCAGCAGGGCAGAGACAGCCTGGACAATTCCTATTGGCTTTTGAAAGCCAATAGAATTAGACTCTATTCAAGAGAGTCTATTCTATTGGCTTTCAAAAGCCAATAGAATAAAAGGGAGCAGCACAGCTAAGGAAAAGGGGGAAAAAATGGCGGACTGAGCTGTTTGACGACCCCCGTGAAATGGTCGTTCGACCCCAAATGGGGTCCTGACCCACAGGTTGAGAACCACTGCTCTAAAGAAATGGAGATGATTTTTGTCACATAAAATCTAGTGTCTTGTTCTGGAGCATCTTAAAAGAGAAGTGGAAATAAGTCCCATTGGGGAGATTATGTGTCTAGCTATGGACTGGTGGCATGCTTTCATTTTGTGACCATGGGACAATGTCATTGGAAATAATGGCATTTGTGTTAATTAAAGAAAAACTTTCAGAAGAGGAATGGCTTTTTCTGTGGTGTGGCATTTTCTGGACCAAGACAGAATCACGAGTCTCCCTTCTGACAAGCAGCCAAGAAGCTCTGACTGGGGAAAAAGTTCACTCACCTTTGGCGAGAGGTTGCGTGGGTGTGACGGGTGTAAAGACTTTGAAAATGCCTTTATTCCTGGTTTACAAGTTCTTTTAGCTGCAAGGGAGGGAAACGAATGACTGCATCCTATTAGTTACAGCCTCTGAAGATTGAATGCGATGGTTCTCCCAACCTGCCAGATATTCTGAATGCTGCACAGGGACACAGTCTTCCAACGCTGAGGATCACATCTTGCTATCTTCCATTCATCTGGGCCAAGCTACGCATCTTTGGGTAAGTTTCTTCTTCAAGGTTGGGCAAGTAGAGCAAAAGGAAGGTAAGAAAGTTTATGGGTCCAAGAAGACAATGACTGGATTTTAGAAGAGAGGGGAGAAGGAAGTGTAACATTTGAGCCAAATGTGTGAAAAGTGCTGAGAAGAGCTTTGGAGTTCACTACTCATGCTTGGAAATACTTTTGATTTCCTGTCCTTTCATTGGGTCAGCGACTTTGTAACTTTGGTGGAATCTGTCTCCATTCCAATTCAGATTAATCCCTAGGGCATATGTCTGTATTTGCTTGCATATGTATTGGTGTGCTTCAGTACATGCTCCTTAGAGAAGAAACAGCTACAAGGCATACTAATAAGCATCATCTAAGTGACTGAAAGACCAGGTAAGCACCTGGTTAAGCACAGTTCACCATCTTCAGATTGTTCAAGGGGAAAATGTATAAATCACTGCCTTCCACTTATATGTGGTTGATCTCCTGCTTCTTTTGAGTTTTTTCTTTCTTCTTTCTTTCTTTCTTTCTTTCTTTCTTTCCTTCCTTCCTTCCCTCCCTCCCTCCCTCCCTCCCTCCCTCCCTCCCTCTCTCTCTCTCTCTCTTTCTTTCGTGTTTCTGCTCCATTCAAAAAGTCCATTAAGGAAGGAAAGACATTGAGAATATAAGTTCTGTCAGGAAGAACCTGCAGAGCAGAGTCAGATAGTGTATAGAAATGAAGTGTGCCCCTCAGGGAAACACAGGGAGACAGCATAAATCAAGATTAATAACATTTGGGTGCATTCATACACCCAACCTTGCTTGATATTTGATTTTTCAGTTTTGTGCAATATATTGAATCAGAAGTAAGCCAAGGGTGGGGTCTGCCTTACATGCTCAGCCAGGGAAAAACCGCCAAAATTAAGAGAAATCGTATTGTATACTGCCTCTCAGCATAATGTATACTGTCTCTTCAGCTCTTTACCTGACTGTGTTGTGTTACACCGGATATGAACTTATGGGCTGCAGAGGGAGACCAGTGGGGCTGATATTCAGGGTAAAATGTACTCTGAACTTCATCCTTGCTATAAAAATGCAATGAAGTAATGCATGAATTAGAGCTATACTTACAGAAAAAGAGAAAAAAAATAGAACATCATGTACCTCTTTCGATTCTGGTTTTTGTCCAAGGATCATTCTTTTAGTCATGCAATCTGAACTTTGAGTTGTAAAGAAGGTAAAGGAGAGGAATATAGCAAGAAAGAGATTACAGAGGTCATTAACAGAGAGGGCCTGTGGCTTCATGCCCAAACAGAAAAACTGAGATGGGGAGGAGTGTCCTTGAAAGGCATCCCAGGCAGAATTCTCACTCAGAGCGGGAAAACTGCCAGCTGCGGAAAGAATTGCTCTGAAAGCAATCGCCAGAAAACAACTTCAAATACCCTCATTCTCCTCCTCTTCCTCTTCCTTTACCACCACCTCCTCCTCCTCCTCTTCTTCTTCTTCTTCTTCTTCTCCTCCTCCTCCTCCTCCCCTCCTCCTCCTCCTCCTCTTCTTCTTCTTCTTCTTCTTCTCCTCCTCCTCCTCCTCTTTTTCTTCTTCTTCTTCTCCTCCTCCTCCCCTCCTCCTCCTCCTCCTCCTCCTCCTCCTCCTCCTCCTCCTCCTCCTCTCTTCTTCTTCTTCTTCTTCTTCTTCTTCTTCTTCTTCTTCTTCTTCTTCTTCTTCTTCTTCTTCTTCTTCTTCTTCTTCTTCTCCTCCTCCTCCTCCTCCTCCTCCTCCTCCTCCTCCTCCTCCAAGAAACAGTTTTAATTGCTTAATTTGAACACCCAAAATGGATTGGCCACTGCTGAGATGCTCATGTAAAACTCTCTCTCTTTCTCTCTCTCTCTCTCCCTCCCTCCCTCCCTCCATCTCTCCCTGTGTGTGTGTGTGTGTGTGTGTGTGTTGTTAGGGTAATAGCATTATCTGATACCTGGAAAATGAATGATTAAGTCAAGAACCACTGACCTCTGGCCAGGCATACCAATCTCAGGAGTAAGTATCTTGCTTTCTCTTTCCCTAGCTTCCACTGAAGGATCCTTTGAAAGAAGAGTTTCCCCTCAAAGGCTGCTTCAAATCGTCATGGGGATATTTTGGACAGCCTTATGCTTCCTGGTATATGGTGAGCTCCCTGTTTTGTATTAGTATCAGCCCTACGAAGTAGACCAGATCAGGAAACCAACCCCACAGGAAGACTCATCTTTACTAATATAGGCTACTACAGTAACCATATTGTGCACATCTGGTTTTGCTTTTCCTCTTCCGCCCCAGGGACCTAGGGAAAAGCTGATACAAGTCTCTTCTCAACAGAAGAGAATATCTGTAGCTCAGGGATGAACTGTGGGGGCCCTTGGTGCTCTCTGAGCTTGGTGGTTTTCTTGCAGATGTTTCATTACCCAACTAGGTACCCAACTAGTGCTAGAAGGGAGTGGAATTGAGGGAGGGAGGGAGGGAGGGAGGGAAGGAAGGAAGGAAGGAAGGAAGGAAGGAAGGAAGGAAGGAAGGAAGGAAGGAAGGAAGGAAGGACTATGGGGTCCTGTGGAGTGGTTTTCTTGCAGATGTTTCATTACCCAACTAGATACCATCATCAGTGCTAGAAGGGAGTGGGGCTTGCTTTCTGTTTATGCACAGGTGGCTTGCTCTCTTAGCGTTGTTGGGATTGTCTAAGAATACTCCCACCAAGACTGACACCAACCCACTTGCCTATAAACAGAGAGCAAACCCCAGTCTCTTCCAGCACTGATGATATTAGCTAGTCAGATAAGGAAACATCTAAAAGAAGACAACTGAGCTAAGTCTTTTCTCAATACTGTCTCCCTTTCTAGGACTTAAGCAATGCTTCTGTCCTTTTTGTGCCATGTATATTTCTCTGCCAAGTTCCCCCCCCCCCGTCTTTTCTCTTTAAAACTCATGTTTTCCACTTTTCTTTGAAGAGGTCAACTTGCCCTCTCATCCTCTAGCTGTGGCTTTATCATTTAGCATGGAATGCACATTTCATATGATAATTACATAGGAATATTTTTCAAGAGCAAAGAGATCCCACCTTCCCATTAAGAGAATCACCCAGCCTTTATGCTTTCTAGGGTGTGTAGGGAGAAAAAAGAGGAAGAGGAAAAAAGATGAAATAATGCTAATCCTTGCACAGTCTCTTCTTCATTGCAAATGTCATTTTGCTTCTGCTATTGCAGACTCTTTCACTCTCGTTGAACTAAGTGATATTTACATCTTAATAGAGCAAGATGACAACCACAATTGGTGTGTTTGCAGTTTGTTCTGGGAAGGGCAGGGGAGGACATCCTGTGGTCCCCCAGGCCTGTACTTTGCAATCCTTGGAGTCCTTCCAAAGATAGTCTACAATAAACATTAATAGCATTTTTAAAAAAAGACAAAACTAAATCCACCGTTGTCTCTTTGAGGTAGGCCAGGCCGGGAAACAGACAGAATTCTATTTTATTCTTGCAGGTATATTAGCAGAATCTTGAAAGAGTGACAGAGTTTCTCTCTCCCTCTCTTTTATATCAAGGACAGTCAAGGTGGAGCAATTCTTGAGTTTCTTTCTCACTTTCTCTTCCTTTCCTGGGCCAAGCTGATGTATGCATGTATGTATATATGTATGTATGCATGTGTATGTGTGTGTGTAGATAGGTAGATAGATAGATAGATAGAGATAGAGTTATAAGCCAATAAAAGAGAATATTTGTAGATGAAATGAGGAGCTTGCTTGATTTTCTTGCTGACATTTCATTACCCAAACTAGGTAACATCATTAGCACTGATGATGTTACCTAGTTTGGGTAATGAAATGTCTACAAGAAAAAAAAAAAGCAAGCTCAGAGAGCACCAAGGAGCCCTCATATGGAGATATAGAGATAGAGACAGATATGGTAATAGCTGCTGCATACCTTCTTCAAGGCTATCTCCATATTCCTGTACAAATATCAGGTGCAAACAATCACATCCACACATATGAAGGTGCAGTTAAATTGATTTACTGCTACTCGTGACAATACACAGGAATCTTCTCAACGAATGGTTAGCATCTGCTAGGAGAGAAGGGTACACAGAATTCAAGAGGGGTTGGATTTAGTCCACTTGTGGCAATGCAGTGACTCCGGGTTGATGGCTCTTTTGACTCCCCCTCCAGGTTCTGCCATTCCTTCTAGATCATCCACCATTCTCTTCGCTCCCTGTGGCCCACAGGCTCTTCCCCCAAGCTTCTTATGTTCTAATTCCAGTCGCTTGTCTATTCAGCAGTCTACAGATCAGCATGACAGAGGTGGGACATTTCTGACACCTTGGCTCAATCTGAGCCACTGCCCAAGGCCTTCAGATCATGTACAAGGGCGTTCCTTTTCTTTTCCAGCTCTGGATTGTCTCTGAAGCCGCGGTTCTCTTCTTTCACCCACAGCGAGAGCTTTTCGGGAAGGGCCTCCAGCTGTATTGTTGCCAAGCTTGCTCCATTTTCACAGAGCTGTTAAAAGTTCAGGAATCTCACAAATCACAGATAGATTCACGAGGCTCTTTATCTAAGGAGAGAGTTGTATTAAGACGATAATTCAGAGCTCAAAAGCAGATCACTCTTACCTTAGTCTGCCAGGCTTCAACAAGATGCTAAGTCTGAATGTGGATACAATGGGCAACGTTCAATTAAATAAAACATATGAGGTGTTAAAGAGAGAGCTCACTTGGAACAATCTGCAAAAGTAACCGCTGGGTTGCCAGTCCTACCCCGTCCTACCCCATCCCATTTTAGCCTAGGCTGGCATGTTATGTGTGTCCATAGTAGCGCCATCAATACTCACTGTCTCCTGATTTCTAACCTAACCCTAGCATTGAACATGGACCTGGGTGTCCTGGCTATGATGAGCTCACAGCCCCAGAAGGACTCAGAAGGCCTTGACAATCTTTCAGAAGACACCTTATCTCCAGAGATGCTGCAGGAGATGTTGTGGCTTTTCCGAAGAGAAGACCGTAAGTCCTTTCAAGGCTTTGACTGCAGAATTTGCTTGGACTAGGCTGAGTCCTGTTAGTTCAGGCTTTGGATCTTGAGTAGGAGAGTTGTGGGGAGCATGGTGGGTGCCTTTAGAAAGGCATGAAAATGAAGGAACTCTCCTAGAAAAGAATCTCTGTAGCTCAGGGTTGAAGTGTGTGTTGGGGGTCCTTGGTGCCCTCTGAGCTTGGTTCTTTTCTTGCAGACTTTTCATTCACCATCTAGGTAGCATCGCCACTACTGCCGAGTATGGGGATTGCTCCTAATTTATATATAGGAGCTTGCCCTGCCAGTGCTGTGGTTTCCTGGGAGTAGTTCCTTGATTCTCCTTGGTACTTCCTTAATCAAGGAACTACCAAGGAGAAATCCAGACCTCCACCAGGACAGATCAGGAAACAGACACCAGAAGGAATGGTATAAGAATTTTATTTTATTGTTCTAGGGTATAAAACATAATCTTGAAAGCCTAATAGAGTTTCCCTCTGCCCCCTCTTATACTAAGTGGAATCAGGGTGGTGTTCTTTTGAATCTCCTTCATGTACTCCTTCCTTTCCCAGGGCTGAAATGTCATTGGGTGTTTCTTATCTGCTAACAATTACCAATTAACCAGTGAGTGAAGAACAAGTAACCAGTGGAATGAACTTGTCTCCAGAAGCTGAGAAGAGATTGGACAGCCATTTGTCTGGAATGGTATAGAGTCTCCTGCTTGAGCTGGGGGTTGGACTAGAAGACCTCCAAGGTCCCTTCCAGCTCTGTTATTCTGTTATTCCTTTACCAACTTTATTGAGTTCCTCTATAAGGAGCAAGTCAAAAAAGTCAACGTGATGGCTACAGATGTGTAATTAACCCAGAATGTTGTAATTGCAGTTTCCATCTTTTTTTTTTTTTTTTTACTCGTCTTCCACAGATGCCCTATCGAGGTAGCTCCCTAGTGGTGATGGGACAAAACTGGAGATGAGAAGCATCTCTGGAGCACTTGGACAATAAGCAAGGTCATTAACCCATCAACATGAATTTTATTATTTTCTCTTTCAGCATCTGCATGGAATTACTCTATCCTGGGCCTTTCGGTTCTCGTTCTACTCATTGGTGTGGTCCTCTTGGGAGCAAATATTAGGGCCAACAGGTAAGAAGAAGTCATATTTGGGAGTGGTCACCCTTGGTTGGCACCCAGCATGTCTCTCTACCTCTGAATACAGGATTCCTTAGTCGCCAAACGAATCCACTTTCTGAGTTTGCCCGGTGTATTCAACTGCAACTTAATCGAACACATCAGGATGGCAGGAAAAAAAAAAACAAAAAACCCAAGGCACAAAACCCACCATGGCTAAATCAAGCAAAACTTTGTACATTGTGCAAATAAAGTTGCGAGTTCTCTTAATAATTTAGTTGCACTAACCTGGCCAGCTCTTGTTTATTTTCACTGCAGACGTCTGTGGAGATTTTCAGTCACCCAGATCCTAGTTTTCCCAAACGTGTTTTTTCAAAAGGCAAGCTGGACTGCTTTTTCCTCGAGGTAGAAGAAGACATTTGGCTTCTCATCCAAGAAGTTTCATCGGGTCTGGCAGGATGGTGGGGGCAGTGGAAGGATTGGAACATCTTCCTCAAGGGAAAAACACTCCTGTTCCTTTTGAAAAAAAAAAGACCTTTGAGATTTCCCTGTAGACTTACTCTTCAAACCACTTCTTTCCCCAGAAAGCATGAAAAGTTATAGTTTAAGAGGAATCCAGGCGAGGATGAGAATAGTCAGCATGTTCAACTTCTTCTGAGTCCGTTTAGTGTAGTGCCTAAAACTACTAGGCTGGAAACTGGGAGACTGTGAGTTCTAGTCCTGCCTTGGACACAAAGTCAGCTGGGTGACCTTGGGCCAGTCACTTTCTCTCAGCCCTAGGAAGAAAGCAATGGCAAGCCACTTCTGAAATCTTGCAGGGACTAGCCCAGGCAGTTGTCAGGAGTCAAAAATTAAAGCAAAAGCACACATACACAAAGGGCAAACCCCAAAAGTGTTTTTTTCAAAAGGCGACTCCCCCCCCCCCCCGAGGATGTTTTGCTTCTCATCCAAAAAGCTTCTTCGGCTGTGAAGCTTCTTGGATGAGAAGTGAAACATCTTCAAGGAGAACACAATAACAAGAACGAAGTCTGGTTGCCTTCTGAAAAAGCACTTTTGGGACAACCATGACCTGGATGACCGAGAATCTCCATAGACACCAAGAGCAAGTCAATATTAGATTTGTCATGTGGTTAGGCTTAGGTGAGCCTGGTTAATTCCATCTTGGCTTCCAAACTTTCCCCAAGCAGGGTTGATGTCTCTGCATCCTTATTTTGAGCGATTCGTTGGTCCCCCTGACTGCCTGCTATCCTATCTGGAGGGCTTCACTCGGAAACAGAGGGCTGAAAAAACATCCTTTTTTTCTCCACTCCACAGAAACCAGAAGGTCCTTCTCCTACGCAAAGATGGCTATGAAGCCACCTCGCCTGATGAGATAGAAACGAAGCAAGCATTTGTGCTGCTCAACAAAGAGAATTCGGATCAAGCTGGAGACAGTTTGCTTCCCAAAGCACCAAACATGGGAGAGGTGATGGTACAGTGGAAGGATGGGAAAATCTCATCCCTGTATCCCGAAGACAATGAAGCAGAGGCATAGCATCTAATATCCACCTTCTGGCTTTTGTGAAACCCGTGAGGATTTCTGGACTATCGACATTTTTGGACGCCAAATTCGTTCAGCGGAATCAAAAAGCCAGCAAAAAGCAGACGCCATACTGGCTGCCGTTGAGTTGTCCAAGAAAAACAATCCACCAATCCATTCATCTACCAGCTGTCTTCACACGACATATTGAACTAGGTTGGCCTAGCCGCTAGACAGTCACTTGTCTGAGATGGTATAGGTCCTCCTGCTTGAGCGGGGGGCTGGACTAGAAGACCTCCAAGGTCCCTTCCAGCTCTATTCTATGTCCCAATCCTCTGAAATTATATCTGCCCCATGACTGAATTTATATTGGTTGATTGTAATCACCCCTACTCCTAATTTTAGCACTGAAGTAGATCAGACAAACAAGTTTTAGTTTTTTTTTCTTCTTCTCTAAGGAGCAGTCAGGCTGTTCCAAGGAAACTAGGTAAATATTTTTGCTGCCAGTCCAAGCAAAAGTCCATAAAAAAGGCTTTTTAAAGGCTGCTGGATCTCTAGATCTATCTGTACAGATGCCATTCTTCCCAATGAAAAGCAGAGAGATGCCTTTGTCTTTTCTCTGACGCCCAGCAACACATTCATTAGGAAATAACAAACATCTCTGTAGGGATACAGTATATCAACATTTGCACAGTGCCACGCACAGCCCCATGATAGTGCTCCTTTCGCCCTGCCAATCCGCCCATCCCCAATAAAGGTGGGCTTTATTGCAATGCCACACCTGTGATCTTCCCAGTTTAGGACAGCTGTCTTGCTTCCCCAGCTTGCATATTTTGATACTGTGTCCTTTTATATTTCTGACACTGGTGGAATTTCTACACGAGCAATCATTTTAGATAGGGTTTGTTTAATTAGCTGGGGCCTGGTTAGCATTTAACACAAAAATAAGGATGCTTGGCAGTTGGTATGCAGGGGTGAGATTTGGGGTTCAGAGGCATTGTCTTAAGATTGGCAGGGGGAACTGAGCTTGCTGTGCCCAAGACATGGTGGGCACCATAATGGTGAACCCCATGCCTGACCATGGATCTTGATTCAGTGCAGGAACTTTCTTCTCGTGTTGATTAGGACAAATGATTAGGACTAATCAATTTGAGTTGATTAGGAGAAATTAGCCTAAAGGACAAAGGACTGAAAAAAGTTTCATTAGCTCTCCAGGAACGCTAGAGAGCACTGTGCATCTACACAATCTACATTTTGTCAATGCAAGGGGATCGTCATAAAACCCCTTATTGGTGCTCCCAGTCACATTCTCTGGCTGTGTCTTGCTGATGCTTCCATGTCCATTTGTCGATTTTGTTCTTTCCCCTATTGTCCTGCCTTTGTTTTATTTCTACAAAATGCTCATCAAAGCGGAGGGGGAAAGATAAGGGCCATATATTATTTCATCCGCGGGTTGAACAAAACTCTGTGGTTTTGTTTTTCCAACTATCTTTCTGTTACTTTTGGAAGAGAACTTAAACTAGAAATTAAGAAAGGAATGTTGGTGAAAGCATGACGTGGAGTGTGGTTTTCTTAACCACTTAGGGACGTGGAAAACATGGGTTGGGTATGAATGTCCACATTTCCAAATGTCCAGAATTCCAAAGAAAGAACAAATAGAAGCTAATCAAAGAGACAAGCAACATAGAACTCAGGAGAAATTTCCTGACAGTGAGAACAATCAACCAGTGGAACAGAAGTTGTGGGTCCTCCATCACTGGAGGCTTTTAAGAAGAGACTGGACAGCCACTTGTCTGGAATGGTGTATGGTCTCCTGCTTGAGCAGGGGGTTGGACTAGAAGACCTCCAAGATCCCTTCCAATTCTGATATTCTATGTTCTATGTCTTCTCATGGTAGAATCCTTTCTTTGGCTGGTTGTAGCCTCTCTGTCTTCCCAAATCTCTATTCAGTCCCAAGAAAAGACTTCAAGAGCAAACTCTTTCCATGGGATTCTTCCATCGATTGCTCAAGCAGCGTGTGGCAGGGTCCGTCAGATGTTTATGACCAAGAAAAAGGTTTAGAACCACCTTCTCCACCTGGTGGTTCCATCCATAGTTTGTCCACTGTCAAGTCATGGTCTTTTCCCAAAATGCTTTGCTGCATTCTTACCCAGCCACTTGGACTGCAGGAAAGGCCAGGAGATGGATATGCAAATCTGGCCCCATCATTGCTTGGGGATCCAACCCATCCCAACAATAACTCTGTTCCCTGTTCTGCAGAATCCCTGCTTAGAATATCTTAAACCCCTTCAGCAAAGTCAACGCTGGAGCCTTCCTCTTGCTTTGAGCTCGTGAGGATTTGACCGTGACCAGCTTGGCCCGGGCAACTGAAGGGACCTCTTTGAAGTTGACTGTGGAGAGCGAGTTGTAGGTGGAGGCAATGGTGGCGGTTGGGACCAGGTGAGCTGAGGGCTTCTCCTCAATGATGAACAAGGGCCGGACTGCCAGAGGTCTCTCCACCTCCCGTCTCGCTTCCCGGACTGCCTCGTGGAAAATGTGCTGCACAGATTCGAAATCCAGGCATGCCGAGACTTCGTGGAAGGAGGAGCCATACTTGGTGGCAAGAGACATCCCCTCGACTTTAGTGACCTGTCTGGAAGGAGAAGCCAGGATAGAACATAACTGCAATATTCACTTCACTTGCAATGCCCCAACATGCTGTGTTATGGCTTCACGTGGTCTCCTGATTCATGTCACCCCTATCAAGGACTGGGGTGTGTGTGTGATGTGATAGCAGTCTTCCAATATTTGAGTGCTGTCACAAAAAAGAGGGGGTCAATCTATCTCCAAAGTTCCTGAGGGCGAGGCAAGAAGTAATAGATGGAAACCTATCAAGAAGAGAAGCAACCTAAATCTAAGGAGAAACTTCTTAACAGGGAGGACAATTAATCAGTGGGACAGCTTGCCTCCAGAAATTGTGGGCGCTCCATCATTGGAGGCTTTTAAGAAGAGACTGGACAGCCACCTGTCTGAAATGGTATAGGTTCTCCTGCTTGAGCAAGGGGCTGGACTAGAAGACCTCCAAGGTCCCATTCTATTCTATTCTATTCTATTCTATTCTATTCTATTCTATTCTATTCTATTCCATTCCATTCCATTCCACTCCAAGGTCCCTTCCAACGTTATTATTATTATTATCTGGTGCCAATTTAGTACGGAACTTGAGTTAACTAGATTCTTGTAGACAGGCTTGTGCGATCAATATCTGCAACTGCAGCTTAACTTATGGTTCTGATCCTTTGCACATCATCTAGTCATTAATGTAGTCCTTAAGTTCAGTACTAAATTGGTGCCAGGTAAGGGTCCATGGAATTCAAGAGGGATTGGACTTGGACCGTTTGTGGCAATGTAATGATTCCAAGCTGATGATGTGCTTAACTCCATCCCTCTGCAGCTTTGCCTGCTCTTCTCCTACAGGATGCCCCATTTCCCCAGTGATATGAATCAATCCATCCCCCTCCTTTGGCCGAGCCCTTAACCTCCTTACCTGTACTGTTCCATATCCAGCTTGTTCCCTACCAGGAGAACTGGAGATTCATGGAATATGTTCTTCAGGTGGAGAGCAATGAGATCCAGGTACTGCTGACATCCTTCAAAACTCTTCCGGTTGTCTATGCTGTAGACTACTAGAAAGGCATGGGCCCAGTTCAGATACCTCTCACAGCCCACTGGTATGTCCTGACAGAGAAGCATGTGGGAATGGGTTAGAAGGTCCAGCATCCCCCTCATCTAACAGCAAACAACACGTTCATCTTGGCAGGAGTGAAGGTAAAATGGAACCGGGGGAGACATGTAGCAAGGCCAAAGGAGGCCCAGTTCCTTTTCCAGACATCTATTGTTTCAAAGCTCTGTTGGACCCAAAACAGTTGGACGCTGCCCTTGGCACTGCATTAAACACCCATTTTGAATTTTGATGAAAGGAGTGAAGCGTGTTGCCTTGGGCCACACGTAACTTTTGATCTTATCTCAAATCAGTGTATTTTGATCTTCCAATAAGAGAGGGGAGTTGCATGCCTTCTCCGCTCTTTACCCTTTTAAACTGCAATTCTGCTTTAATTTTAATTAAAAGAAACCTTGTTTTCCATTTTAAACGAAACACTATTCCCTGTATTTGACTCTGGCCTCATAATGTTTTTTTAACAATATCCTGAGAAATATTCTATCTAGAATATAGCAGAAGACACATGAAACTACCAAACTCCAAAGAATGCAGGGCTTATTCTTAGGTAAGCTGATCTGGAGAGAGAGGGGGGGGAGGGAGGGAGGGAGGGAGAGAGAGAGAGAGAAGCAAATAATATGAAAATAAAATATCTTAGTCTTGCTCTTTGTATCAACAAAGTCAAATGAGAAAAAAATGCCACGACTCAGAGATGGACTATTAGGTCCCATCATTACTTGTAACTTTGGGACACAATGCATTTGGGGCAAAACCTCATGGACCCTGGCCACTTTCTACAAAACTGAACATTTTTTATCTTATATACATCACACAATCACTCAGGTGATTTGCAAAGAGGGTAAGATAGATACAGATCACTGAATCACAACTAGCTGTATTCTAGTTAACCCAGGACTGGGTTAGTTTATGGTGAGGAGATCCTTGGCATTCTCGAAGCTCGGTTGCAACCAAGCTCATAGAGCACCAAGGACCCCTCATTTCAACCCTGAGATACAAATATTCAGCCTCAAGAAACTTCCACAGAGCCATTAGTAAACAATCCACCCAAAGAATCCCTAAGACTGCCCTCCACCCACCCAGACAGGCAAGACACCAATATAAACTGATAGCAAACCGCACTCCTTCTAGCACTGATGATGTTACCTAGTTAGGGTAATGAAATGTCTGCAAGAAAACAAGCAAGTTCAAAGAGCACTCAGGACCCCATAGTCCTTCCTTCCTCCCTCCCTCCCTCCCTCCCCTCCCTTTCCCTCAATCTCACTCCCTTCTAGCACTGATGATGTTACCTAGTTAGGGTAATGAAACGTCTGCAAGAAAACAAGCAAGCTCAGAGAGCACCCAGGACCCCTAAATTTTTTTTTAAATTTTGACTGCTGAGGTTACTTGGACGAGTAACAAAACATCTCAGATTAACAAACTTTGGTCCAGTTGCCATGATTTTAACCTTTTTAAGATACTTTTGGCCCGGATGAATGAGCTTTCGTTGACATACCTGATCGGCTGTATCCATCACCTTGAGCAAGACATGTTGCTGGTCTACTATCTCTTCCGAAGCGTAAGTGTCTTCTGCAAAGAAAATGCTTTCAAAGTCGGGAGATCATTTTGGGAGAAGTCAGTATTTTTGTACCACCTAAACTAAGCCGTGACCCTCACAGGAGGGGGCAGATCGCGATTCATCTTTCCCCTGTACAGCAACAGTCCTTCTAGGGTGCCGCTGGATTGACATGAACAAAACGCATGCATGTTTTGTTGAATCAAGGAGCCCTTGAAAAAGCTCTCCAACTATCCAAGCAAATTCCCTGGAAATTATTGCTCAGCTCATGTCTGAGCACAGGAGGCAGACAGCAACAGGCCTTATCCTGCAGCCTATTTTTAAACATTAAAATAATAAAAAGGCAAAGCTAAACTATCAACGCTTGTCCATCATCCGGGCGCTTTTGTACTGATTGTTCAAAGGAAAAAAAAAAAAAGGAATGTGGAAATTAGACTGCTCCTTCTTATTGAATGCTTCCTGCTTAAATATTGCCTGCATAATTTATTTTGTACACAGATAGTCCTTGACTTTACTTTGGCCCCCTAATGAGAAGAAAGGACTCACTGGAGAAGAGCCTAATGCTGGGAAAGATGGAGGGCAAGAGAAGAAGGGGACGACAGAGAAGGAGGTGGCTGGATGGAGTCACTGAAGCAGGAGGCGTGAGCTTAAATGGACTCCAGAAGATGGTAGAGGACAGGAAGACCTGGAGGAACGTTGTCCATGGGGTCACGATGGGTCGGACACGACTTTGCAACTAACAACAAGTCCTTGACTTACAACTGTCTGTTTTGCGACTGTTCAAAGTTACTTCACTGAAAAAAAGTGACTTACGACTCTTTTTCACACGTATGACTGTTGCAGCATCCCCTGGTCAGATGATCCAAATTCAGACACTTGACAACTGACTAGTATTGATGACGGTTGCAGGATCCCAGGATCACGTGATCACATCTGCAACCTTCTGACAAGCAAAGTCAATGGAGAAGCCAGATCCACTTAACAACCGTGTAACTAATTCAACAACTGAAGTGATTCACTTAACAACTGTGAAAGGAAGGACATAAACTGGGGCAAAACTCACTTAGCAAATGCTTAGTAACAGACATTTTGAGCTCAATTGTGGTCATAATCCGAGGACTGCCTGTATAGCAAATTAGTTCAGTCACTGGAATATTCTGAATGAGAGCCACAGCTTTGGAAAAGAAATCTCAGTCTGCTGAATAAATGGAAAACATCCTTGAAAAAAAAAAAAAGGATCCAAAATTTATTCTCCTGAAAGCCTCCTCTGTTATTCTTCAATTACTGGATATGACTCAAAACATCTACCTGCCAAGAATTTCCAACACAATTATACCCCCGTTTCTTTGTTGCTGATTGATGAAGCTCCTAGCAGTCTGACCTCTTGCTCATAGCTCTCCCTGGATGCACCAATAAACAGAAAACAAACGGAAATAGATGCCGTAGATCAAATCATAATCTTGGTCTACTTTAGCTCACTGGCAGAGCCCTGGGGTTTTCTGGGAATGAAAAGACTGCATGTAGTATGATTGTTGCTACTGATTGTCACGACCGATTCACTCTGTCACCTGGAACTGTCCAGTGTCAACTGTCCACTGAACCCCTGTTCCTTCAGCCCAGGCCCTAGTCAAGATGTTTGTGCAACACATCTACCAATTACATGGGGTCCCGGAGTGCATTATTTCGGAACAGAGTAGAGTAGAGTAGAGTAGAGTAGAGTAGAGTAGAGTAGAGTAGAGTAGAGTAGAGTAGAGAAGGGAGTTGGAAGGGACCTTGGAGGTCTTCTAGTCCAACCCCCTGCTTAGGCAGGAAACCCTATACCCTATACCTGGCTGATTGGGCGACCAACTGTAATAATCTTGACCTTGAATAGTCTCATAGAGCCTTGGGGGTTAATATTGGCCACTTTGGGGAATCCTGGTTTAGACACTGTGATATGCTACAATAGGTTTGCTTGTTAAATAAAACACCATTGACTCAGTTGGCACAAAGAGCAAAGAAATCACATGATAGTTTAGTGCAACATGTATGTTCTCAGTTACTAATTTGTTTCTAAACTTAAACACTACTTTCTGAGTGACTCAATCCTTCAGCCACCATTTCACAATGGTCCAGTAAAATTAGACCATAAATCTAAGATTCCATTAAGCAGGACTGGATTTTAAGACAACACTCAGGCTGAGTTCACATCTAGTCCTCCTCCAAAAAGCAAATACTGACATCTCTTGCTTAGTGTCTCCTTTAAAGCAAACCTTCATTTCAGAATGTTTAGCAGAGATAAAATCCATGCCCAATACAGACAGTTTTTTACTGTGTTTTAGAATTCAAGGCAAAGCAGTGTGGGTCCAATTCTGGTTTGCAGAGAATAAAAATGCCCCCATTTAATTGCAATAGTAAACTATTACACTTAGGCAAGATAAACCAAACGTACAGGTACAGACTAGATGAAACTTGACTGAACAGCAGTAACTGCAACAGGGATCTTGGAGTTCTAATGGACTTAAATATGAGCCAGCCATGTGCTGCAGCTGCCAAAAAAGCCAATACAGTCCAAGGCTGTATTAACAGAGGGATAGAATCAAGATCACAAGAAGTGATACTACTGCTTTATAATACTTTGGTAAGCCTACACTTGGAATACTGCATTCAATTTTGGTCACCTCAATATAAAAAAGATATTGAGATTCTGGAAAGAGTGCAAAGAAGAGCAACAAAGATGCTGGAGGCTAAAACATATGAAGAACAGTTGCAAGAATCGGGCATGTCTAATCTAGTGAAAAGAACTAGGGGTGACGTGATAGCAGTGCTCAAATATTTGAGGGGCTGTCACAAAGAAGAGAGGGTCAAGCTATTCTCCAAAGCACCTGAAGGCAGGACAAGATGCAACGGATGGAAACTAATCAAGGAGAGAAGCACCATAGAACTAAGGAGAAATTCCCTAACAGTGAGAACAATCAACCAGTGGAACGGCTTGCCACCAGAAGTTGTGGGTGCTCCAATACTGGAGGCTTTTAAGAAGAGACTGGACAACCATTGGTCTCCTGCTTGAGTAGGGGGTTGGACTAGAAGACCTCCAAAGTCCTTTCCAACACTGTTATTCTGTTATGGTTTTTCATCGCCCAGAAATCCAGGAAGCAAACACCAGCTGAAGAGAAGGACAGCAAAGAACACTTTTAAGGTCCCTTTAACTATTGGCTCTTAGGCTTTCATTTTGTCTGGGCTCCCTGCCGTTTCAAGGGGGATTTGTGGATGGACAAGAGATCTGCATCACAGCTCATCAACTTTCTGGAAGTCTTTTAAGTCCAGAAGCCTCTCCTTGCCCTACTAGGCAATCAGTGTTTTCCATCTCTACTTTCCTTGGTATGTGCTCTAAATTTGGCAAGTTGTTTTGAAACAGCCACGAAACATATTTGCAAGCAGAACTTGGAAGAACTTAAAATACCCTGCAGTGTGTTTTTTTTGGGGGGGGAGGAACCACAACTCCTGAAGGGGGCTGACGTCTTCCAGGGACCCAAGAAGTGGGCCCGTTTTTCTGCTTGCTAGCAGGATCACTTTTCCTTCCCAGCCCCCTGCATTTTGCTTCGGGTCTGCTGGGTGATTGCCGAAGGCCTCTGGATTGGAGCCATTTGCTTCCACCCAAAGTGGGATTTTCCTAGCCTACCGATAATCAACCTGAAAATCTCTCTTTGGTATCCCAACTTCCAGTTTCTGTTCACAGGAATGAACGAACCTTTCAAGTCTGAGTCATCTGGATTAAACTTGGATTGTAGGTGGTTCCCCCAACAGATGGCAGGCCCTGGTTGACTCAGTCTGGGATCAGAAGCTAAGCTGGTCCAAAGCTGTTTAGTTGGCATGTCTGTGGAGCTTCTCAGTCACCCAGGTCACGGTTGTCCCAAAGGTGCTTTTTCAAGAGGCCGCTGGACTTCCTTTGTTTTTCTTTGAAGATGTTTTCAAAGAAAAAACAAAGTCCAATTGCCTCCTGAAAAAGCATCTTTGGGTTTAGTTGGCAGGGGAAACGACCAGGAAATCCTGAGCGAGTTGCGATTGCAAAGGGCAACATGGAGGGACAAAGGAGGCAGATTCAGACTTACCCAGATTAGGGTCGTATTCGCTTATAAACCTCTTGGTAAGAAACTTCACCGTTAGTGCTACGAGAAAAGACAGAGGGTTACTTCCTATGTGTAGGTTCTCCCCACCTGTAAGACTTTTTGCAAAATCAGTTTCTCCTTTAACTAATTTGAGATTCTTCCCTGGCAAAGCCTCTGCCCTTGAAGAATATCCAGAAGCTTCACCTGATGCAAAATGTGATGCTGTGGACAGTTATGAGCAGGGGGTTGGACTAGAAGACCTCCAAGGTGCCTCCCAACTCCATTATTCTGTTATTCCTAGAACTGCACAAGTTCCACCTCTGCTCCGCAAGCTGCATTGGCTGCCAGTTTCCTTCTGGGTTTAATTCAGGAAGCTGGTTTTTAACCTTCACCAGTGGGTTTTGTCAGCCCAGTTAATTGAGCAAACCATGATTAATTAAATTATTGATCAGCAGATACCAGGTCTACTTAAGAGAAGAGGAAGAGGCAATGTCCTCTCCTGGACCCATCCAGCCCGCCTCAACTTGTTTTTCTCAAGATGTGTTGCATTTCCTTCCATATGTCCAAATTGCAAAATGGTGGATTAGGCAAAGCTACAATGAACCATCTTCAGAATAGTGCATGAAGATTGAGATGCTGCCCCCCTCCAGAAGAAACAGTCTTGTCTCCTAACCTGATTTCCCAGATCCTTGGCAGCCCAGAATGGCCACATTGCATTCCTGCAGAAGGCTTGGGATATGGCGTTCATTCGCCCAGGGGACAGCCCGAGGTTTGCCAAACATGGAAGACATCTTTCAACTCTGTGAATAAAACCCAACAATGAATAATTCTACATTGACAGGGGAATAAGATCAAGATCATGTGTAGCGTACCGCTTTATATTGCTTTAGTAAGACCACACTAGGAGAGCCGTGTTCAGTTTTCATCACTATGACACAAATAAGATGTTGAGACTATAGGAAAGAGCGCAGAGAAGAGCAACAAAGGTGATTAGGGGACTGGAGGATAAAATATATAGTTGCAGGAGCTGTCTATGTCTAGTCTAACAAAGAGAAAGACGAGGGGGGACATGACAGCAGTCTTCCAATATTTGAGGCTGCTACAGAGAAAAGCGGTCTATCTATTCTCCAAAGCCCCTGAAGGCAGGACAAGAAACAATGGATGGAAACTAATCAAGGAGAGAAGCAACCTAGAACTAAGGAGAAACTTCCTGACAGTGAGAACAATCAACTGGTGGAACAGAGGTTTTTAAGAAGAGGTTGACCAGCCATTTGTCTGGAATGGTATATAGAGTCTCCTGCTTGAGTAGGGCCTTGGACTAGAAGACTTCCAAGGTCCTTTCCAAAGTTGTTATTCCATTATTCTTTTCTTTTGCTGTCAGTTCCACTGCACAGATTAAAATGGCACATTAGCCCTTCTCTCCAACTCAGGGTTCTGATTTTGGCAACATTCTATTATGTCTGGTTTTGGATGGGGTGGCACTGCCCCAGACAGACCAAGTGGGCAATCTGGCCTTTCTCCTGGACTCACTTGGAAGGGACTTTGGAGGTCATCTAGTCCAACCCCCTGCTCAGGCAGGAAACCCTATACCATCTCAGTCAAATGGCTGTCTAGTTTCTTCTTAAAAACTTCCAGTGTTGGAGCATTCACTGCTTCTGGAGGCAGGTTGTTCCACTGGTTAATTGTTCTCAGCATCAGGAAATTCCTCATTAGTTCTAGGTTGCTTCTCTCTTTGATCAGTTTCCATCTGTTGCTTCTTGTCCTGCCTTCAGGCGCTTTGGAGAACAGCTTGACTCCCTCTTCTTTGGGGCAGCCCCTGAGATACTGGAACACTGCTATCATGTCCCCCCTCGTCCTTCTCTTTGTTAAACTAGACATACCCAATTCCAGCAAATTGGCTTAACATGATGCAGGAACTCAGTCACGGAATAAATAATTGATGGAATTTAGTGTTAACTGAAATGTCAGCAATTTGGGTAAAGGTTTTCCCCTCCCTAGCCAGAAATGAGTCCGAATTTCTGAACGTAACCGGTGACTTAAGACAAAATTATAGGGTTTTTTTTCCCCCAGCCTGAACACAGCAGTAGAAAGACAAAGGTAGTCACACAACGCCTAAGAAAACGTCTCCGCTCGTGCCTTAAAATAACTGAACTATATATCTTAGTTTACAGACCACCCAATACCATAAGCCAAACTCTGCAGATGACAGGATGACACAAGCTTGTGGCCAGCTCAGCCGAAAGGAAGCAGCTGTCTGGCTTTAAAAAAACCGGCATCTCTCGGCTGACTTTCACTTTGTCCTCTGGAAGCTGAAGAAGCCGCTCTCTGCATGAAAACTGAGATCGAGAGATATCTGGGACTCAAAGAGCAAAAAGTAAATTTTGTTAAAGTTTTCCCCCCCCATTCCTGAGAAGTTAGTCTTGCGCCCTTTCTGTAAATAAATATTGTTGTTGGGAAATGGTGAATTGGTTGGGTTCTGGTCCTCGGAGAGTAAGAGGCGTGTCTTCTCCCATTGCTGGCACTCCAAGCAAAATCTGTTGAATATCAGTGATGGGGTAGTACAGATGGAGGTATACTCTTGGTCCCACCAGGTTGATGAGACAAGCCCATAGAGCAGGGTTCTTCCAGCTTGGCAACTTTAAGACTTGTGGACTTCAACTCCCAGAATTCCTCACCCACCCTGGCTGAGGAATTCTGGGACTGAAGTCCATGAACCATAAAAGGGCCCAGTTTGAAGACCCCCTGCCCTAAACCTAGTTCCCTTGGTTATTCATTGTATGGTTTAGTCTCCAGATCCCTGATCATCTTTCTTATTCTGTTCTGCATTCTTTCTGAGGCCTTAGCATCTTTTTGTATCATGATGACCAGAACTGGACACTGTATTCCAAGCATGCCTCACTAATGCAATATAAAGCAGTACCATCACTATCACTTATAAACTGACTCATCTCAATCCTAGAGGGGAAAAAAACAGGGTCTCCATCTTTATTTCACAATGTCAGAGCTGCAGCTTAATGGAAAGGGACCGCTCCTGACATCATTCTGCCCAGTGAGACATCAAGGCCAAATCCAGTTCCCATCCTTGGTCAAGTTCCAAGAATAACCATTGAGAAGATGTTTAGGGGACTGGAGACTAAAACATGTGAAGAACGGTTGCAGGAATTGGGCATGTCTAGTCTAATGAAGAGAAGAACTAGGGGTGACATGATAGCAGTGTCCCAATATCTAAGGGGCTGCCACAAAGAAGAGGGAGGGGAGGGGGTTTAACCTATTGTCAAAGTACCAGAAGGAAAAACAAGAGGCAATGGATGGAAACTAATCAAGAAGAGAACCAATCTAGAACTAAGGAGAAATTTCCTGACAATCAGAAGAATTAATCAGTGGAACAACTTGTCTCCAGAAGTTGTGGGTGCTCCATCACTGAGGGCTTTTAAGAATACAGGACAGCCATTTGTCTGAAATGGTACAGGGTTTCCTGCAGGTGGTTGGGCTACTCCACGATCTCTTCAACTCTTATTCTGAGAAAAATGGTGCTTCTCCTAATCAAGTCCGTCTGATTGACAAAAGGGGGGATATTTCTGGGCAGCAGAGAACAGCAAAAGAACTCATCATTCTTTTGAATCAGAGGCTTTTCACAAAATGGATGGTGATCAGGACTCTGCTCTTGCCCAGATGCTTGGTTTGCTTTATCATCTCTTGATGGAATTCAGCAGCAATCAGTTTTTGATTTTAGAACATTGAGGCTGCTTTTTTTTTAATTTCTAGAGTTTGTAACCTGTATCATTGTTTGCTGTTTTATAATTTTATGGTTTGATTGTATGGAATGCTATTGCTGTAAACAACTAGGACAAAGGGTGAGCTGCTTCTTTTAAAGACAGTGTAGGAATATTTGGGGTCGAACTAAATTCCAGGGCCTGTTAATCCAGGCCTGGAAGAGGCTCTGTTTGGAGCTGAGCTACTGATGTGCATCTTTTCTGCTTTAAGCCTTTTAGCACATCTGCTTTTGATTCAGAGAGCCCTGAGTTGGGATAAACACATTTTGTTGACAAGACAGAAGTCAGAATTGCTTTTGAACTGTATGCAAGATAGGCCAGCAGAGGGGAGAAGAGGGGAAAGGTCACACCAAGCAGGAAGAGAGAGCTGGGCTTCATATAACTCAAGTAATGTCCTACTGAAGATCAAAGGTAAGAGTCCTTCAGGGTTAAACAACATGTTTGTACAGCATGCTAGTCTAAAATCTGGACAGCTAACCATGGCTTAATGCAGGGGTGTCCAACTCTGGCAACTTTAAGACCTATGGACTTCAACTCCCAGAATTCTTGGAGTTGAAGTCCACAAATCTTAAAGCTGGCAAGGTTGGACACCCTTTGCTTAGTGTATAATGCAAATCTGAGTGAGTTGATAGTCTGTTGTGTTATCCTTACCAGTTGGGTTAATTTGACAGTAGTTGGGGAAGCCAAGATTTAGGGGGTCTTTGCAAACATGGCCCCCAAAGATTTATCAACTTCATAGCATCATATTTTTTATTTAGTACTTCGAACTAAGCACAATAGAGCATGTTCTCCACAAACAACATCTATCCAGGTAAGTTGAGTTAAAAGAACATCTGCTTTCAACTTCCCGAAGGAGGTTCTGTGGGTAAAGAGCTAGAATCTGAATCTACTTGCTCTTAGTCCAGCACCTTCTCCACTGGATTGCATAGGCTTAGGGACTGAGAGGGATTGACTGACCCAAGGTCACTCACGAGTCTTCCAGGGCCGAGAAAGGACTAATAGCTGGATCTCCCCAATCCTAGTCAAGCATCTTTCTCTCTAAACCATCTCTGCCACATTCTCTCATTTTATACCTCCAAGAACCACATCCAGGAAACTCAAAGGTAGGTTAGGAGCCTATTTCCCCATCAATAAAACAAAGCTTCTTTTTAGATTAGAATCAACATAAAAGGAACATGTAATTGTATATCTATTTATTTTGTGTCTATTGCAGTCAGTAGTCTAATGAAGAGAAGATGGCCGTGGACGAAACCCAGAATGACTCTGGGATTAACATTCCTAGAATTGTTCTTGCCTTGATTAAATTGATCCATGTGAGTCTCTCAAATATTGAATATGGATCTTCTGCAAGGGGCCAGGGTTTTTCCCCCCCTCTTTTAAAAAGCTGGTCAGGCTCATACAAATTTACCAACTATCACAGCTGAGTTTCCACAGTACACAAAGTAAGATAAGGACTTTAGGATAACGTGTGAATCCAGCATGGATTTCACACAGACCTGTGCATTGGAATTAAACAGAGATAACACTGAGACCAGAAATGTGGTATAGATATAACAAAAGAGCAGTTGTGTCCCTAATACATCTCAATATTATATCACATTTTTCTTTGCTTCTTGGCTCAATAGTGTCTTATGCCTTCCCGTCAAATATAGATTGGCTGAATTCTCACAACACGGTGACTCACAAACTAGCCAATCTCATCTTGTGCAGAGCTGGTCTGTTTATGATTTAGGATGTCATGCACATCCATAAAATAGGATTTATTGAGCCAATGTAAACACGGGCAAGCCTGTTGGGCAAAAACCCAGCCTGTAAACATTACTAGGATTATGCCCCTATATTTTCTGGGCCAACCTCACAGCCATCCTATGCTTCTAGTCTTGTAGATTAGAAGAATCCAGGTTTATTGTGCAGACCTAGGAGGCAATGTTAATCAGTAAACTTAGTTAACCATGTATCATTCAAGACACAGCCAAGCAGAATTCTCCCACCTGTCCCTGTAGTTGGGATGTTGCACCGCTAAAAGGTTGGGGCTGATGCCCCTGGCTCTAGTGGGCAGAATGCATCAGAAGATTCCCAACCAGGGTTGGCTTACCCCATTTCAAAGTCAGTGGAAACATGCCCATTGCTACCTTCAAAAGGGAAATATTTTCTCCTGAGTCTGAACTGCCACGAACCAGCTCACCTTCAGGTTATAATAGGAGCCCCATCGAAGACCGCTGGAGAAATTCAAGCCAGGTTAGACGTCCCTCCATCCAGGCTAGTTTGTGTCATGCTGCCAGACCATTCCTTTTAAAGCTCTGGTGACCGAGGTGGGGGAAGAAGCCAGCCTGAAGCCAGGTCTCTGCGGCTGGGAACGGAGAGGCAACCGCTCGCTCTGGACAGCTGCTGGTCGCCTGGATCTGACTTGAATGAATGAGGCAGAGAAGTGAGAAGTCCCTTCCCTGCCAATCTTTGCCAGCTGAGCTCCAGCCAAATTCCTTGTAAGGAAAGCTGTTGCCGTGTTTTTGGCCTGGGACGGACACGTTTTCCCATCAACAAGAGGGCAGGGCAGAAGCAAAGGCCGTTCTTGCTGGAGGGGGCGAGGGGGACGTCAAGGATGCCCAGCGGCTAGAGGGGTCTCTCTCTCTCTCTCTCTCTCTGTGTGTGTGTGTGTGTGTGTGTGTGTGTGTGTGTGTGTGAGAGAGAGAGAGAGAGAGAGAGAGAGAGAGAGAGAGAGAGAGAGAGAGGGAGAGAGGGAGGGAGAGAGAGAGAGAAGAAAAAGCAAACATAAAACGCTGCTTCTTAGCTTCATTCTTCTAGTGGAGAAAAAAAAAATGAGTTCCAGATCTGCCCTGGATCTCCTTTAGCTTATCTGGGGATCTAAAGCTACCAGTTTAAAAACTGATCCAGGGGCTGCCCCACTCTGGGCCAGGGATGTGGGTTTCTCTCTGGGAAGGCGTCTTTGGGCGAAGACCAGCCTAATCCTGCTCTTGGGATAAATGTAGGCATCAAGAAACAGCTCTTTCAAGAGGCATTGCTGGCACCTTATTTGGCATCTTCAGACAATCGCTAGTGACCTGGACTGACATCTGACTTGGCACCTCTCTAATTTCACTGCCCACCCCAGCCTGGATCTTGAAATTTGCGAGAGTAGGGATGGATGCAGGATCCTGAAGTCTTGCGTGTAACCCAGAAACCCTCCAAACATTGACAAACAAAGGAAAGAACTTGGCATTTAAGAGGTTCCCTTAAAGGTGCTAAAATGACCTCAGTCCTGCACCAGTGGAAGGTCTTGCCTAAAACATTTGACCATCGTCTCTGAGAGAACCAAGATTAATTTCTCACCATTCTGGGTAAGAGGTAGGATTCAGCCAACACATCAAGCTGTTGTTTCTTTAACTGTGTTGTATTGAATGAACCATAACAGATGGGATTCACTTAGACACTGAAACATAATCATGGTGGAGACACCATTATAGTGGGTTAATTAACCTGTTAATCCACACCCTAGCAAATGACATGATTGCTCGGAAATTGCACGAATCCCTCTTACTATATCTATGGAGATTTCCAGTCATTCAGGCCCTGGTTGATCCATGGGTGCTTTTTTTCAAGAGGCAACTGGATTTTGCTTGTTTTTTTTCCCCCTGGAAGACGTTTCACTTCTCATCCAAGAAGCTTCTTCAGTTCTGGCTTCAGTTCAGTCAGAACGGAAGAAGCTTCTTGGATGAGAAGTGAAACGTCTTCAAGGCAAAAACAAACTCCAGTTGCCTCTTGAAAAGAGCACCCATGGGACATCCACTCTACTGTTTCCTTGTTCTTCGCTTGGCTGTTTGTATGAATCTAGTCAGATGATCCTTTGAGATAATCCCTGGGTAGAAGGCATGGAAGGACATGGAGCTTTTCCACGGAAAGCGCAGATGTTCCAAGGTGAATCCAGTGCAGGGTGCTTCAGACCAACTTGCATATATTTTTTTCCTTTCTGCCTCTGGGCTGTTTAAATATGACAGGCAGTCCTGTTGATCAACTAGACTAGTGGTGGCGAACCTATGGCATGGGTGTCAGAGGCGGCACTCAGAGTCCTCTCTGTGGGCACGCACACCATCGCCCCAGTTCTAGGCCTTCAGCTGGGTTTTATAAAACCTTTTCGCTTTAAGCCTCCGCTGCTGTGTACAAAAAAAAAAAAAGATTCAATCAATCAGTCAATTTCAACTTCTCGCGGGAAAAAAAAAGATCTTGCAAAGTTGGAATTGATTGATTGAACTTTTTAGTCCCACCCAGTCTGTCGTTACCACCACAGCCATGCCCACCCAATGGACCACGCCCACCTGGTACCCGACGATGCATAAGTGGGTTTTGGGTTGCAGTTTGGGCACTCGGTCTCTAAAAGGTTCGCCATCACTGAACTAGACTGAGAAATCCTTCTGTTGAGAATGATTAGAACCATAATACCTAACCTGCTACTTTCAAGATGTGTTAACTGCCACAATTCTCAGGCTAAGGATAGTGGACTTATGACAAGGCTTTGAGTACATTGACTTAGCTATAATTCCCATTTAGTACAGTAGGGTTTATGGCATGCAGTAATGATGTTGGTTCTCTAACTGTCTTCGTCATATTCACGATGTGCAGGGAAAGGAGAAATATTGTTACAGAAAAGGGCGGTTTGTGTGAAACTCCAAACTTTCTTCTAAATGAAAAATAGGTTGAAGGCTCTTGCATTGCTTTGCAGCCTGGCAGTTGCTTTCTGCACACATACCGAGATTCACACAGATATGAAACTTTAGAAGTTCAACTCAGGTTGGCAGGAAGCTTTTTCTGTTCATTATAATGCTAGTTTCTGTGTTGTGCTCCCCCCCCCTACATACATCTATGTTAAAGAGGCCAGGGCCATCAAAAATTCAGCTCACAATTGCTCCAGGAGGGAACAGGGGCCAAAAAAGAAATATTGCAGCCAAATTTATAGGGTAGACATTGTAAAAGTTAGAAAGGAGACAAAGGAAGGAAGGAAGGAAGGAAGGAAGGAAGGAAGGAAGGAAGGAAGGAAGGAAGGAAGGAAGGAAGGAAGGAAAGAAGGAAGGAAGATCCTATTTGGACTTTATGTGTTCATTCTGCCTGCCACAAATTCCTTGGGGCAAAAACTGCAAATCCAATGCCAAAAGAATACTTGCTAGAATTCTTTCATCTCTGAACAACTTCATGTGTTCAGCAGGATCCTGAGCATTATTCACTTATCTTTTTTAAGGGACAGTTTTTGACCTGGGTAGTGGCTTCTTCAGATAATCTGACTACAGCTCCATACACATTAGCTCCTGTGTGCACAAACACAGAGAGACAAACACACACACACAAACACATATACAACTGTAATAAAGGAGTGATGAAATTCGATGGGTTTTGGAGTAAACAAGTTACGTGGAAGCAGATCCAGATGGGAAATGAGAAAATAACAGGTCTTCGCCATTACTGCACTTTACTTTTTGTAAACTTGGGTTCTGGCAAACGTCCATCCCTCTAAACTGGAGGCTCAACACTGGAAGATTTCCATGAGTGTGTGATCATGTTGCAACCGTAAAACTTTTTTGTATGGAAGGGATGAAGCAGAAATACTTTATCTTTTCCATGCAACGAGAGTTTGGGGAAATGCAGGGGAAACAGTGGTGGTGGGGGGGAAATGAAGCACAGTTGATTCATTTGCACCCTCAACACAATATGGACAGAGCGATAGGGCAGGAGATTTCAAATTGTGGTCCCTTGGTTTTTTTTCTTCCTTACGCCAAAATGCTTCATTAACAAAATTGATCATGGCAGATGCTGAAGGGTAGCTGCTTCACCCAGGTCACCTCTACTTTTAGGTGCTTGTTTTGGGCTATCGTGCACTTCCTAAGGGTCAAGGAACAAAGGTGCAGTAATAGTAATAGTAGTAAAGTTGGAAGGGACCTTGGAGGTCATCTAGTCCAACCCCCTGCTCAGGCAGGAAACCCTACACCATTTCGGACAAATGGCTGTCCAGTCTCTTCTTAAAAACTTCCAGTGTTGGAGCATTTATTGCTTCTGGAGGCAGGCTGTTCCACTGATTAATTGTTCTCACTGTCAGGAAGTTTCTCCTTAGTTCTAGGTTGCTTCTCTCCGTGATTAGTTTCCACCCGTTGCTTCTTGTCCTGCCTTCAGGTGCTTTGGAAAATAGCTTAATTCCCTCTTCTTTATGGCAGCCCCTGAGATATTGGAATACTGCTATCATGTCCCCCCTTGTCAGGAGAGGCTTTCAATTTAAAAGTCTAAAGTTTACAGTGGATGTCTAGTTTAATGAGCAGAAGGACTAGGAGGGACATGATAGCAGTGTTCCAATTTCTCAGCGGTTGCCACAAAGAAGAGGGAGTCAAGCTATTCTCCAAAGCACCTGAAGGCAGGACAAGAAGCAACGGATGGAAACTGATCAAGGAGAGAAGCAACCTAGAGCTAAGGAGAAACTTCCTGACAGTTAGGACAATAAACCTGTGGGACAACCTGCCTCCAGAAGTTGCCGAATGCTCCAACCCTGGAAGTTGTTAAGAAGAGACTGGAAAACCATTGTCTGAAATGGTATAAGGTTTCCTGCCTGAGCAGGGGGTTGGACTAGATGACCTCCAAGGTCCCTTCCAACTCTGATTCTATTCTATTCTATGGATATGGATATGGAAAGAAATTTTAAGTTTAACCTCAGCTAGAGCATAAATCAACTGAAATCAAATGTAGGGTTTGTCCTGCCCCACCCGCCTCATCATCCACTGTCCCACCACTTTCAGAGTGTGGCCTCTGGCATTCCACCCACAAGCCAAGTGCCCTTGTACCCCAGAGAAAAGGGGGCACCCCCATTCTAGAGGCAGTGAGGGCCATTGTGCTCAGCGTCACAATCACAGTGACCTTTGAAGATCTGTCTAATCAAAAGAGAGTTTTGTTTTGTGGTCTTTGTTTTCTTTTGTTACAACCTCTCTCTCCTTTGCATGGAACCGAAGAAATGCTGCTTATATCAGTTTGCAAAGTGCATTGGAAGGATCTCATCCTGCTCATGTTGCTGGCTGCTCTGGTCACATGAAGACCAGTTATCTTTAGCAGGACGTATTTATATATAGAGAGCACGCAAGCATACCTTAGCCGCTCAAGCCAGCACAGGAGGGTAGAAGTTAACAGGGACCACTGCTTTATCCCTGGAAAGACGCTGGGTGGATGGGACTAGGGAGGAAGCAACTCTGGCAAAGAAAACGGAGCCATGCAGTCACAAGTTGTGGATCATGTCCAGATCCAGGTGGAAGACACCTTTTTCTCAGTGGACAAAGATCTTCTGGTGGAACACAGTGAATATTTCCGTGCTCTCTTCCAGTCTGGCATGAGGGAGAGCACGCAAAAGGAGATCCAGATCAGGAATCTGAGTTCCGCTGGATTTTGTATCCTGCTAAAAGTTCTGGAAGGGGAATGTCCACTGCTGAGCTGTGAGGAGAACCTCAAAGCGGTAGAATGTGCCTCCTTCTTGCAGGTAAAAGCCCTGGCCAAGTACTTGATTGTGTCCATCAATTCGGACAACTGCATCATCCTGTACCAAGCTGCTGCAATGTTTGGCCTTCTGGACCTTTTCCATAAAGCTGCCCTCTACATAAGAGATAGTTATTCCGAGCTGGAGGAATATCTGGACTGCCTTTCTCCGGATTTGTTGGATTATGTTGAATCTCTTCTCCCCAGTAGCTTTGTGGCTGTGGGAGCTCACACACCCACCTATGAGTTCCTGGAGGACGTCTCACGATCCATTTGCTACCTGGAGGAGGAAACCAACACCTGGAGGACCCTTTCTTATTTGCCACTCACTGCCAGCACCTTTCTAGCTGGCATGACGACCCTGGATAACAAAATTTACATTGTGGGTGGGGTCTACGGGTACAACAAGCAGGTGGTGGACCAAAGCTTTTGCTACGATCCGGTAAGCAACCTCTGGAGTCAATTTTCTAGCCCTCAGCAACTTCGGTACGACATCACCTTGACAGCCTTGGAAGATACTCTTTATGCTATCGGTGGTGAATTTGAGAAGACGCCGCTGAAATCCGTAGAAAAATTCAATCTATCCACCAACAAGTGGGACTTTCTGTCGGATTTGCCCCAACCGGCAGCGGCTGTACCCTGTGCCCAAGCCATGGGACGGATCTTTGTTTGTTTATGGAAACCTCTTGACACCACAATCATCTATGAGTATCTGCCCCAGAAGGATGAATGGCTTCCCATCTCGACCCTGACTCAGCCTCAGAGTTACGGCCACTGTATGGTGTCTCATAGGGACAATCTCTACGTCATGCGCAATGGGCCTTTTGATGACTTCCTGAGATGTATGCTAGACCGCTTCAATCTCACTACGATGCAATGGACATCTTTACCTGGCCAGTACATGAACAGCAAAGGGGCACTCTTCACTGCCATCATCAAGGGGGACACGGTTTATACGGTCAACAAGATGTTGACCTTGCTGTACACCATCGAGGACAGCAAGTGGAAGTTCAAAAAGGAGAAAGCTGGTTTCCCAAGAAGTGGGTCTCTGCAAACCTTCCTTCTCAGGTTTCCGAGAACAGATCACAGTATTGCAACATAAACGTGGGCAGCTCCGTGGATTATTGAGCGGTGGCCATCTTACATCACATCTGGACTTTTCTGGATAGCCCGCTTTTTAATTTTTCCAGACTTCCTGTGGTGGAGCCAGATCTAACCGTCATAGGATCATGATGGTTCATGCAAAGGGAAGAAAGCCCCAAGAAGATACTTAGGGCAAACTTCAGCAATTGCACCAGAAACCGTGGTCTTGTCTTCTTGGTACTTAGCTGGGCTTGAGGCTGTATGACTGGTAAGCAATGAAGTTTTCGCCTACTCCTTAGTGGCAACAAGATTATTCGGGCAGGACAGGCCTTGGTAGGGGTAGTAGATGGGACAGACCTACAAGCAGAAAAAGCCTCTAATCCATCAGAAGGCCAGGGATGCCCAGAGGGGAAATATGGAAAAAAGAGAAACAGGGATCTAGTACATTTGGGATATGGTCTCCTGGAATTTCGGCCAGTGTGTTGGACTTCAGTTCAATGTGAAGTATTTTAAGTCTCAGGGCTTCCGAAGAAAAAGACTTGCCCTTGCATGGAGCTGGGGGACGCCTGCCAAGATTGTTCCTTCAGCTAGCAACCCGTTTCCTGTGGAGATATAAACAAGTTCTGTGTATGTGTTTATAGAATTGATATTCTCAGCAATTAAAGCTGAGACTGGCTATAAATAGACTCTGGGTAGGGGACTAATGATTTCAAAATGTGTACAGATTGAGCCAGCTTGGAGATGAATTTGAGCTGGGTTTATCTTTTTGCACTAAAGACGGTCTTGTTAAAAGAGCAGAGTTAATTCTGCCAACTTCTAATGCAAGGGTAAAACTGGAATCGTAGGCCAGAGGTAAGAGGGATCTAAAATCACAGCATGAAACCCTTCCATGGGACTTGCAATAGAAATACGTATGTCTTAGCCTATTAAAGAGAAGGATTAGGGGGGACATGAGAGCTGTCTTCCAGCACTTGAGCAGCTGTCACAAAGAAGAGGGGATTGAGTTATCCTCCAAAACGCCAGAGAGCAGGACAAGAAGTAAATGGGTGGAAGCTTGTTCAAGAGAAATCCGTCTAGAAGTAAGGAGAGATTTCCTGACAGTGAGAAAACAGCTTGCCTACCAGAGCTGTGTGTGCTCCATCACTGGAAGTTTTCAAGAACAGACTGGACAAGGCAGGGGTCTTCAAACTTGGCCCTTTTATGACTTGTGGACTTCAACTCCCAGAATTCCTCAGCCAGGCTGAGGAATTCTGGGAGTTGAAGTCCACAAGTCATAAAAGGGCCAAGTTTGAAGACCCCTGGTCTAAGGTCTCTTAGCTTGAGCAGGGGGTTGGACCAGAAGAACCTTCTAGCCCTATGATTCTAAACACCAGAATTAAGTGCCCAGGGTGAGCACTGCCCAAGAAACTGGGAAATATTGCAGCGTTGTGAAATGATCAAGATCCGTAGTCTCCTTCTCGGCGAGATAGGTGGCATACATTTAATAAATAAATAAAATAAATCAAAGCATCTCATTTCATCTACATTAGTGGAAAAATTAATATCCCAGGGAGAAGGTTGCGCTTGTAAGAACCACATCTGGTGCTTCATTCCTGGAGGTTCTGAAGGACACTGCACAGCCATTTGTGTAAAATTGTATGTAGAGTCACTTGCTCGAGCATGCGGTTCCAAGGTCCCTTCCAGCTCTATTCTGATTGGTCCTGCCAGGAAAGATTACTACTCACCTGGTTTTATTCCTCACTTTGTTGTTGTTGTTGTTTTAAAATGTTAAAGTGTCAGCTTAAAATGTTTGATGATAATGATGATGATGATAGTAATAATAATAGGCGACTTGGGTGCAATCCCAAAACAACTGGAGCACCACTTGAACACCATCATCGGCATTGACAAATTCACCATTAGTCAATTGCAAAAGGCGGCCTTACAAGGAACAGCTTCCATCCTGTGACGATATTTGTAATAACAGCAAACATCCACATCTGCCTATCCCAGGTCCTGGGTAAGGACTCGATAGGTAGACAGAATGCCAAATCCAGTCTGAACATCTGGCTGACTGTGCGATGATCCATAATAATAATAATAAACAAAGCCTTTCGGGCACCCTATGAACCAACTAGAATTAAGTCATTGAGGCTGGCTTGTACATCCCCAATGTGTATCCAGGGTTGGCTCAATAACAAGAAGCTTTTTTTTTTTTAAAAAAAAGAAAAGATTAGAACGAGACTATAATATTTACAGACTCATTTAGGGAGGGGAGGGGAGGATGCTGGTCCGCTCTCATTGGCTTTGTGTCATGAGCTCCTCCAGGGCCCTGTCTCGGTGGTTTTCACACAGTAGGAGGACCTCTTTGATGTCGGCTTGTCGGAAGCCCATGTCATCGAATTGGGCTAAGAGGCGAAGAAATTCTGCTGCCTGCCGTGGGAAGGAAGCACAGGAGCCATGAAACCAGGGTGGGAATGAAGAGTGCATTTCCACAGGTGCTCTGAAACTCCCATAAGAAAGAAACCCAGTTTTATAAAACCATGAGGATTAGACCTTCAGGATTCTGAATAACAGACACTATGACCTAGGAGGCTATATCTTGGCAAGAATAACAATCTGTATTGAAATATCAATTTTTTTAAAGCAGGGAACTGATCTGTTAATGTCAGTGAATTATCAATAAGCAAACATGGAAAAACGTTAAGCCCACATCATGGCTAAAAGAAAGTGATGCTGGCAACTGGCTTTTAGCAAGTTGTGCCGGGTTTTCCCTCTCTCTTTTGCCAAGGAGCTAGAAAAACTGCTTCATTGCTTTCTAACCTTAAGGCAAAGGCCATTTCTTCTAAAAACTTTGATTTCAAATTCTTCCCAACTCTAGTCAGGCTGATTTTCTTGCATGTTCAAACTTGGTTGTGTTCTGTTTTTCTTTCCTTGCTTTTTTAGCTTTGTTTTGTCATCACTCTTATTGTGAGTCATTTTGGACATCATTGTCAGAACAGAATTCAAAACTATGCAGATCCTCCCTTCCTCCCTTCTTTCTTTCTTTCTTTCCTTTCTTTCTTTCTTTTCCTTTCTTTCTTTTTTCTTTCTCTTTTTCTTTCTTTTCCTTCCTTCCTTCCTTCCTTCCTTCCTTCCTTCCTTCCTTCCTTCCTTCCTTCCTTCCTTTCCCCCTCCATATTACTTTGTGTTAGTTTTTGCGCTATCAACTGCTAATGACATTCACACACATAGAAAAAAAAACTCCATGCTGGTGGAGACAGCCATTTTTATCATTCGACTGATACCCCATTGTAAGCAAAGGAATTTGATCAACTTTTCAACAAAAATTGGGCTCTCACCTTTTTCTCTGAGTTCTGGAACATTTCCATTGCCTCTATAACCTGGCCCTCTTCATAACCCTGTTTCAGAAGTCTGTCACAGGCACTCAGATAACTGAGAAACTGTTATGGGAAAGCAGAAGAAATTGAAGGGCTGTTAATTAACCGAGCACTATTTCAGCTAAAAGACATCAATCCACTTCCTAAACTAGGAACACAACCCTTCCCATACTTTGTAGAATCAGTAATATGATCTGGAACAGGGTCCCCAACCCCCGTCTGTGGGCTGGCATTGGTCCATGGCATGAAAGCAACCGGGCCGTGCAAAGAAGTGAAGCTCCATCCATGACATGCAGACGGCACACGAAACCACGTCCCCTCCAGTCTGTGGAAAAACCTCTCTCCACGGAACTGGTCCCCGTGGCCAAAAGATTGGGGGCTGATGATCTAGAACCCTGGGATCATCACTTGCAAAGGGCAAACTGACCCATGCGAGCAAATTAGTAATGGCAGCTTTCCTGTAGAACAGCAGACAAGAGCTGGGGGTGATGGGGAATGAAGTTAAATGAGTCAACAGCCCAGAGTTGTTACGTTCCTAGAAATGGTCTAACTCCCAGCCCTCTTGTTTTCTGTTGACCCTTGTCTTCTGAACTGCAACTTAACTATGGTCAATTCCTTGGCAATAATTTTGAAAGTGAGTTACCCTGAGCTAAGAGTAAGAGAATAACTTGAAACAAGACGTAGAACAAAACTTCACACATATGATTGCAACTGTCAACTAATACATTTCTTTCTAGACCTCAAGGTGTTATCAGTCTCTTTCATCTTGTTTTGGCAGAAAAAAATATATGAAGTGCATTATGTCTTTGAAATATTATATATCTTGAACGCAGAATATCAGAACCAGGAGACTCAGGGTTACACAATTCGTGGCTGGCAATGGAGAAACAATTTTTAAGCCTTGAATTTCTGAAGAAAAGCTCCAGGATTTCACCACTGGGGTCACGTAAACATTTGACTTTCATGTAAAAATTTTAACAGGTGGGGGAAAAGACTGAAGCAACACTAGGGAGAAGCTTGCAGAAGCTTTTAAAGTGGGGCAGTAATACCACAATACCTGAAAGAGTTTGGCTATTCATACATTACAGGCTGTACTCATCTGTCAAATTAATCTTCAGTTGTTGAATAAGCCACGTTTGGCAGGGTCCACCCACATGGACTAAGGTCTAAAATATGTCTGCTGATGTGTGAGGAATCTGAAGACCGGCACATTCACTTATATAAATCTAATCACTGCTTCCTGTTAAGGCACACGCAAACTCTTTACAGATTTCGTTCAGCTTCTCAGCGCAAAGATCTCAGAAAAATACTAAGGATGCTTGGTTGATTAGATGACTCTCTAGATCCAGGAAAACCTAACTCAGCACCTTGGGAGAGGAGACGGGGGCCAGACGAAAGTCCCCTTCTTATGACTCTGAGAAAGGGACTCTTGTCATGGAAAAGACAAACTAGAATTATTTTTGACTTTACTCTTAGAGAACTGACTGCATAGCATTCTCCTTTAAATACCACGGCATCCATTGGTCCCTTGGGAATCTGTGATTGGTGAGCCAGAGTCTCCATCCTATTTTTAAAAACCCATTTTCGTGGAAACAGTACGTTTTTCCAGGTCTGAAATGGGGACAGCTAGTGAAGGGACCCAGCCATAGGCCCTCTGACTCACTCCCAAAATTGGTGAAAAAGTTGTGAGCAAGCGCACAAGTGTCTCCTTTTGGCAATTGGGGATTAAAAATCAGCCTTAAACTCAGTGGCTGTCAGAGGGAGATAAACCTGGAGTTCAAATGGAAGTTAATAAAAATAAATAGCCTCCAAATATGAACTATGGAAAATAAACGATGTTGATATTAGAGAGGAATAATTATTCGAAGGCCAAGGAGAAATTTTAATACAGCCAAAGTGTACAGTTGTTCAGTTAGCTTAGTTTTCATCCATTTAATTGCAATATTGTTTTCATATTTCTTTTTGATAAGAGGGATGGGTATCGCTTTGAGGGGCATGCAAATGATAATAGGGTCAAAATCTTCTGACTTTGAACCATTTTCCTTTTGTGGCATGGCAGCAGAACGAAAAATGAAACTGGGTGAAATTTCTGCACTTCTAGAAGTCGTTAATATAAATAATAAGCATAAATGTAAATCGTGTAATCACAACAATGATCCTGGTAAAGGCAAGATTTGGGGATGTTGACTTTGAATGCAGGTTTATATGCAAGTATTTGTTTTGTAAGTATTTTTGTAAATAAAAGCTGCTCCCTTGTGTAGTCAAAGTTGCCATCTTTGTTGACTACCCTCCCCACCCCTGGTTGCATTACATCTCTAATATGGTTGGAGTGTTGCTGTTGTTGTTGTTATTTTGAAGCAGCTCAGATGGTATCTTACCCCAAGGCTGAAGAAAACGGACTACCCCAAGTAGGTTTCCGTGGCTAAGAACTGCGCCATCAAATCTTTCAAGAAAGAGCCAGCAACACTGTCCCGTGTCTCCAGGGTTATCACCTCAGAGGCCATGCCCCCATGGGACCTCAGAGCCCTCTCCCCAAGCTATGGCACCATAGAAAAAAACATTCTTCACTCTGCCCTAAAGCCATATGCAAACCTCAGCCCAATTTCAAATATCTGTAACAAAACACCAGCAAAAAAAGAGAGAAGGATCTGCCTCTCCAAAATCTGGGTGGGCAAGGAAGGGAGCACCAGAGAGAGAGTTACGTGAAAGGGATGCTCCCACCCTACCAGCACTTAATGTAGTCATTCTTTCTGAGGAAAGTCTTCTCCTAGACGTGGACACTTTGAAAGCACCTTCCCCAGCGTTGAGGGGGGCAATTTTGCCCCGTCTTATTTGGAGAAGGGAAACTGAACCCCCAAAGCCTCTGCAGAGCTTCATTCCTTCCACTTTTGACAATCAGGTGCCCCCACGACAGCCTTCTGGAAAATAGTGTTGCACCACCTGGAGAGGACACGTGTCCCCCGTTTGGGAAGAGAACCGGTCCTAGCTCTGTCTGACCTGGCCTAAGTTTCGTCTCCCCGTCTTCTGCAGAGCGAGGATCGCTCGGCGGATCGGATAGCCCAAGGCTACAACCGGTTCAATCAATTCGCGTTCCTCTTGGCTCAGCACCGAGAGCAGATCGGCGGTGGAGTCAGGGTGAGATCTGTGGGGACTAAGAGGTTGCTGGGTCCCTGGAGCGGGTGGGAGGCAGGAATACGGGCTGAGAGCCTGAAAAATAAAATAAAATAGAGCCATTTAATGTCAGTTAACTTGGAGAAATCTTTATTAGCCATCTGCTCTTTTGTGAGGCTTTTCAGAAGGATTTTGTTCTCCTCTGGAATATGTGCAAGCATTGTGGGTATGCCAAGGCAGCGCGCTTCAAGTCTTTTGTCATGTTAAAATTAAATTAGGCCAGGCATAAAGCGAGCCAGGAAAATTCCCATCGTCAGAACACTCTTCCCCCACCCCCACCCCCACCCCCTATTAACATCCTGTTTTCATTTCTGTTTTTCTGAAGCTGATTCAGAACCATCCTGATTTGGAATAAAAATTATTATGTTTCCAAGGAGATGACAAAGGCTGGCAAAACAATAATGAAGACAAGAAAGCTGGGTCCTGGGAAATAAAACGTGGACACTTTGAACTTAACAATGACATCTTTATATATCATTCAAAGATATGCTTGATGTGGTGTTGGGAAACTTTTCCCTTTCAGCTGGTGGTCAAGTCCTTCCATGTCTGTTTTTCTCTCATCATCATTCAAACCCTCTTAGGCAATCTCTGGCTAGGATAGTCATGGTATATTGTTCCCAGCAGTTGATGCACTTGGCCTGCGTGTATATATATGTATTTATAAAAATGGGAGGGCGATTCTGCTCTTGGTCTGTGTGTGGACTATCTGGTGGACATCTACACAGAACAGAGAGTGATAGGGATGGAAAGGAACTCAAGAGGTCTTGTAGTCCAGCCCCCTGCTCGATAAGGAGCCTTAAACCATCCCGCCCAATGGTTGTCCAGTCTATTTTCGAAAACCTCCAGTGATGGGAGCACTCACAACCTCTGGACGCAAGCTGTTTTGTGGGTTGCAGGTAGTCCTTGACTTACAACCATAACTGAATCCAAAATTTATGTTGTTGAGTGATACATGTGTTAAGTGAGTTTTTCCCTGTTTTACGACCTTTCTTGCCACAGTTGTTAAGTGAACCTGATTTTCCCATTGACTTTGCTTGTCAAAAGGGTTGCAAAAGAGGATCACGTGACCGTGGGGCACAGCAATGGTTGTAAGTATGAGCCAATTGCCAAGCATCTGAATTTTGATCACGTGATCTTGGGGGTTCTTCAGAGATCATCACTGTGAAAATTGGTCACTAAATGAACTGTTGTAAGTTGAGAACCACCTGTAATTGCTTTCACTGCCAGATAATTTCTCCTTACTTCTAGGTTGGATCTCCCTTTAACACAGTGGTTCTCAACCTTTTTAATGCCGCGACCCCCAACCGGTCGTAAGTCAAGGACTACTCAACTGGTGCAGCACCGTTTGCAGAATGGGACTTTTGGCGGGCTCAGCAGGGCAGAGACAGCCTGGACAATTCCTATTGGCTTTTGAAAGCCAATAGAATTAGACTCTATTCAGAGAGTCTATTCTATTGGCTTTCAAAAGCCAATAGAATAAAAGGGAGTAGCACAGCTAAGGAAAAGGGGGAAAAAAATGGCGGACTGCGTTGTTTGACAACCCCCGTGAAATGGTCGTTCGACCCCAAATGGGGTCCCGACCCACAGGTTGAGAACCAATGCTTTAACAAGCTTCCACCCACTAATTATTCATTAATCAATTCTACCCATTAATCTAATTTCATCCCATCCAATCTCTGTTTAGGGACACTTCTCACATGCTCCTAAACCTACCAAATTGACTTGGCTGGAGCCCAAAGTACACATTTAGGTTCCATCATGGCTGAATTTATACAGCCAGGGTTATGAAACATGGGGGGAATATAATATACATTTCTATTTCATTTGTTATGGATACCTCTAAAAACGTTTAAGAGTTGTTGCTGGAATTGCAATCGAGACATTGGCACATTAACTTATATGTCTGACTGTTGTTACATTTTGGGCAGAAATCCACAGGATTGCTAACAAGAATTTAGATCGATCTTGGTTGGTTAAAAAATGGTGATGTTTTGCTGGGCTATATCCCCAGCATTTGGAATCTATCAAGACATCAAGAACTTTGGCTCTTTGCTGCATTGGAGACAGCCAAAATAATTATTATCCAACATTGGAAGGACAAATATATACCTAGCTTGCAGCAATGGATTGCTGATATGTGCATTTGAGTTAGAGGACTTTTGAGTTTTGTGTGAAAAGGGGCAAGAAAGAGGAATAAACAATTCAACCAACATCTAAGATTAGTTTTGTGGATGAGATAAATTTCTAAGCTTTCCCCCCTTTCTGTCTATATGATCTGTTTCTGGGTGGTGGAAACACACATAGACAAATGGATTATCTTGATAACATCTTTCCAATTTCTAATACACACTAGGGAGAAACAGAGGAAGAATTTTACAGAGAGCGACATTTGCAAAACTGTGTTCTTTCAAGAAAGCAAGCCAGGGACTTTCACACAAATCAAATCTTAAAATGCAAACTCTACACGTGTTTAGATTCCCTCCCTCCCTCTCTCTCAAATACACCTCATATATATTATTTATATTATAGGACTGAAACATTAATTTGTTTGTGTTTATTGAAGCTTGGCAGTCACATCCCAAATTATGTAGGACTCTTCTGTAAATCTTAACAGCTCCTTGTTCATATTAACAATAAGCAATGCAGCCAGATATTCATCAAACAAAACCACATGAAAACAAAAATTTCTGAAAGATGGGACTTACATAGAATTAAAATATTCCATTCCACTCATTCTTCCTGCTAAACTGATAAGAGTCCAAAAGGGTTTCATCATATAGTTTATGGCACCATGCAAATGATGTTTATATTACCTTAAGCCACCCTAGTTTAACTCTTGCCTGTCTCTAACTAACCTACAGAGAATTAAGCTGCTTCCCTTGGGGATGTTAAATGTCATAATAATATGAGAAGATAATAGGAAACTAGGTATGTCCAATTTAATGAAGAGAAGGACTAGGGGTGATATGATAGTACTCTTTCCAGTACGTGAAGGGCTGTCAGAGAGAAGAGAGAGTGTGTGTGACTTATTCTCTGAGAACATCTGAGGGCAGGACAAGAAGTAACGAGTGGAAGATCATTAAAGAGAGATCCAATCTAGAATTAAGGAGAAATTTCCTGATGGTGACCACAATTAATCAGTGGACGTTGTGGGTGCTTTGTCACTTGAGGTTTCCAAGAAGAGATTGGACAGCCATTTGTCTGTAATGGTATAGGACAGGGGTCCCCAACTCCTGGGCTGCGGTCCATTACCGTGCCCTGGCTTGTTTGGAACCAGGCCACGTGAGCGGCTGGTTGGTGCAGGCATGGAGCTTGGTATGTGTGAGCAGTGGGCCAGAGCACATGCGTGTAACTTGACTTGCACAAGTGGCAGTCCGGTTCACTTCTCCCCCCCCCCTCCCCGGGTCGCCACACCATAATGTTTGGGGACCACTAGTATAGGGTAAGACCTCCAAGATGTCTTCCAACCCTGTCATTATTCTATGATGTTCTATGTTCCAACAGAATTTTTAGCATATACAGAGAGTTTTCAGCACTGTGAAGGGAAAGTCTCAAATATTATATGGATGTTAATTTGGATAGAACTAAAATCAAGACCATCTTAAGGAAAAGGAAGCAGTTGCTGAATCAGGTCTTCATTTTTTTTTTCTTTTTCAAGAGGCCGAAAAAGTCATCCAGACGCAAAGCCTCTTTTGAAGCTTATCTTGTTTGTGGATTTTTGGAATCTGAGAAGGATGAAGGCTCAGGGATAAAGGTGATTCAAGAGCAGCTCATTCATGGCAGAATCCACTCCTCATTAATGGCTTAAAAAAACAGGAAGGAAAAGACCAAAAGACAATGTTTCTTCTTGAATGGCATTCATCGGGACTAGATGGGATATATTACAAATTCTCATCCTTCCCTATCGTGTGATAATCAATCCACAATCTGCCTATGTAATAAGGCAGCGTACAAAATGAAGCAGTCTGAATTTTGCATTGAAGTCATTCCCTAGGCCAGCTGTCCACAATCACCAGTGGTGCTCATTTGGGAGCTGACTTTAAATTTCTTTTCATTTGTTTTAAGTAAAATAAATAAATAAACCGGGAACTTGGAATGCGGGAAAGAAAGAAGCCATTTTCAAACAACGTTTATATTTAGAACATAGAAGAACAGGGTTGGGAGGGACTTTGGAGATCTTCTAGTCCAACCCACTGCCCATGGTAGGAGATCCTACTCCATTCCGGACAAGTGGCTCTCCAGTCTCTTTTTAAAAACCTCCAGAGAAAAAGAACAGCTGGGATTTGAACCCTGGTCTCCTAGACCAAGGACAATAATGTAACCGCTAAGCTATTCAGCCACTCGCCCATTTAAACAAATGCCATAAAAAGTGACCCTTAGCTCAAAAAACAAAGCAATGTTATATATTTGAAGAGCTAGAAGATTTTGCAGAGAGCAGCTTCACCGGTAAGTTTTTGCTAAATGGTTGAAATACCCTATTTGCCCACAAAGGTTGCCCATCTCTGCCTTTAGGTTATGTCCAAGTCAGTAACACTCAACCTTTTTAATACAATACTCAGATTCCATATCCAGGCTAGGCAGTAAACTATAGATCTCCAGACACTTAATCCTTAGTCAGCTCTTGGCTAGACTTTTCAAAAAGCTTCCATAGATCACTTTTAAAAAAATTATATTGCAGAGAAGAACGAAGCCATAACATAGTGGCTGACTGCCCATATTGGTGCAAAGAGACCAGAATTTTTGTATGTCTATCCTGCAGCTTTTAAGTTTCTCCCTCCTGTGTTGTCAAGTTCATGGATATTTGGTATCTCCCTTGGGCAGCTGAGATGTTTAAACAATGATCCTTTCACCCTGGGAATCACTGGTTTCACATTGCCACTTTCAGCTTTAAGCAGATCCCCTTTCAGTACAAACAGACATTTTGATTCCAGTTAACCATGCATTTGCATAATAGGAGCGATGCTGGATCGGGCTGTGATTTAGCCACAATCTCAACTTAGTATCTGAATTATGAGCTGGCTCGTTCACGCACACGTGTTTATCAACACTGTTTGACAAGGGCATGCAATCCAGAATGCCCTATACGTTTCTCTTACACTGTCTTTAAAGCATTTTGTAACATTAATGCATGTGGCTAATATTCAGCAGGCTTGAGAAATCAAACAATTGATGTCCATATTTGTAACTAGGCTTTATTCTTGCGAATTTGTACAGATTTGTTTATTTTACGCTGTCCTTCACAGAAATCACAACGTATACTGGAATAAAAACCGAGCTCCTGTGGTGGAGGGATTGCTAAAAGGTTAAGCCGTGTTTTGCTATGTTGTCCTTATTATAAGGACTGATTGCTGCTAATAACTCCTCCTCTAGCCAGACTTGCAGGCCCCCTGGATTCATTTCATTCAGTGGCCATTGACTATCAATGCAATTTTATTTCTCTGAACACGGTTACGTTTTCCTTCACTGTTTGTAAAACATGTTGCACTTTGCCCAGATTGGTTTTCTGATTAAGTTTTATTAAGATTCTTACATTGCCATCTCAGAATTTCTTTTCTTTTTAATTGATTAACGACTGCAATAACGTGTGCTGCATTGCTTGTTTTGTGTAGCTGGACTTCCCGCTAAAACTGCTGCATCTGAATTGCACCAGAGGCTGGAATACAGCTAAGTCCTCATCTTACGACTACAATTGTGCCCAAAATTTCTACTGCTAAGTGAGATGGTTGTCAAGTACATTTTGCCCCATTTTACGACTTTTCTTGCCACAGTTATTACGTGAATCTGGCTTCCCCATTGGTTTTGTTTATCGGAAGGTCGCAAAAGGGGATCCCATGATCTGGCACCCTGCAACCGTCATAAATATGAGTCAGTTGCTAAGTGTCTGAATTTGGATCATGTGATCCTGGGGATGCTGCAATGGTCGTTAATTGTGAAAAACGGTCATAAGACACTTTTTTCACTGCCGTTGTAACTTTGACCAGTCATTTAAAGAAATGGTTGTAAGTCAAGGGCTACTTGTACGTAGCTGGGCCCGCAAGCCTCTTTGCAAATCAGGCCATTTTAAATGCATGGTTTATGAAAAGCATAAAGTGAGGGGAAGGTGAAGATGGACAGATGCTCAGCTCCCAGATCCTTCCAGGACTCAGGAAGGAGGGTAAGACAAAAGACAGGAAAGATACTTACGGCCACGGTAGGTTTATGGTGTTGGATGGGACGGATAAGCCCTGCTGAATGAAGCCGACTCGGCTTACGACTGGAAGTGGCTGGTGGGGTGGGGTTTAAAGTCTGTGTGAAGCGAGGAGGGGAACCGGGTCCGAATCTGAAGCTCCTGCTGTTTCTGGAGTGCTGGTGGAGAGAGAAAGCCTTCGAAACCAAGGCAGAGTCTGTGGCAGTTTGGTTTAAGGGATGCATGATGGCCATCAGCTTCTTCTTGGCGCCTTCCAACTCATTCTTCACATTGCTTAAAAAATACGTGGATTGCCTCTGTTTGCCCAAAAGTGGCCTCGGGCAACTGCTGTCTGAGGCAGCACTTAGATGCCCTGGTGATGTCTTCGGTCTGCTTTGGGGAAGATCGAAAAGCTGAGGTAGAGCACCGGGCATTGACGCTAAATGTTCTCCACTGTCGTGTTCTTCAGAGGTGGCTGAGGAAGACTCTGTGCCTTCTGAACTTTTCTGGTCCTCAGGACCCTGATCTAAATTCCCCCTTTCAGTCACCTCCTCTCCGCTCCCAGCGCGGTGGAGCATCTCAAACTCAGTGCCCAGATTCATACAGCTTTGGACACGTGTCATTTCCTTGGATTTGCAACCTGTTGCCTTGTGGCTGCCGGCCACGTTTTCTTTAGGGTCCACCAACAGGAGCCAGCACGGAGGGGCTGTGGGATACGTATTCGCAGTTACATTAAACCAGGGAATCTCCTGCCGTGAGGCAGAGTCAAGCCAGTAGAGGACCTTTTTCTCCAGTGAAAAATCATGCTGTGAAAGGCAAGAAGATTAAATGTTAGCACCTTCCCAGCCAAGCTAAACACGTAAAGAAAATGAGACGGAATATATGATGTAATTCCAGATCCAATGTCACAACATCTGGAGCTTCTCTTTCCTTGAGCCAAATCCTAAACTATCTATGTCCATCAAACCCATTGGAGGTCACCTTGAAAATATGACTTTGATTTTTTTTTAAAAAAAAGGGGGGGGGAGATTGTTTCTGAAAATTTACATTACAATTTAATAGCAAAAAGGATGTTAAAATGATTTCTGAAGTCTTGTTCCAAAAATGCAATGGTGCCCTCTATTGGTGGGAATGCCGTGACTAAACAACACCATAGGAAAAAGAAACATATTGAAATGTTCAAGCCCAAAGTTCTAAGTCACGGGTCTTCAAACTTGGCCCTTTTATGACTTGTGGATTTCAACTCCCAGAATTCCTCAGCCAGACACGCTGGCTGAGGAATTCTGGGAGTTGAAGTCCACAAATCATAAAAGGGCCAAGTTTAAAGACCCTGTTCTAAGTTACTGAAGATTCTCTCTATAGGAGCCGTGGTGGCGCAGTGGTGAGAATGCAGTATTGCAGGCTAATTCTGCCGACTGCCAGCAGTTTGGTCCTAACCGGTTCAAGGTTGACTCAGCCTTCTATCCTTCCGAGGTTAGTAAAATGAGGACCCCAGATTGTTGGGGACTAGATGGTTCAAGAAGGCTGTAAAGGACTATGAAACGGCATATAAGTACAAGTGCTAAGTGCTTTTGCTATAGATATTTTCTCTTGCAAACAATAATTATTAATTCAGTTAACACTTTTGTTAAATGAATTGTTTTGATCCATGGGGAAACATGGATTCTGATTAACATATACATACACATATTTATCGGGGAAAAGGATTGGCTTCAGCAAGAGTTGTCAACCAAACTTACAAGAAAGGGAAACTTGGTATGACAAATGTGCTTACACATTTTTTCCTCCTATTATACTTTGATTATCTTCTTTTCCGGTAAACATAGTATTTATTCTATACTCTTTGTCATTGTTTTCAGGGTAGTAATTGAAAGGAATTATAGCAGTCAATCTGTTTACCATTGTGCATGATAAGACCTCTGCACACGTGGGCAGCTCAATCTCGGGCTGGTCAGCAAAGCTGGCATCTCCCACAGGATCATCCACAAAGCTTACGGTCACTCTGAAAGGTACATCTTCCAAGCAGCTCATTACGTCCCTGAACTATGTTATTCTAATAAAAAGAAATCAAAAGGCGTACTTAGCACTTTAAGACCCATTTAATTGATAGTGGTTATATTGAAGGACTTACTGCCAGTCCCAAACGGGATTTTTTCAGGAGGCAACTGGACTTTATTTTTCTTGGAAGACGTTTCGCTTCTCATCCCAGAAGCTTCTTCAGCTCTGACTGGAGAGTGGAGAATGGAAGGATTTATGTTCCTTGCAGACCGCTGGTCATTTGCCTCTTCTTAGAGAGTCGTTGAGGCCATTTGGAGGTTTACCTGTGTCCTCAGGGTCACCTGAATAGTGCAAATGTGTGCGGAGCCTCCTTAGCTGCCCTGTGTCTCTTCACTGTCAAAGACAGGCGCAGGCAGTTGGGGATGAGTCTGCGTCGTCTACATCTCCAATTGAAGTGCAAATGGTTGCAAAGAAGGCAAAGGACCAGCTGTCTGCAAGGAGTATAAATCCTTCCATTCCCCACCCTCCAGTCAGAGCTGAAGAAGCTTCTTGGATGAGAAGTGAAACGTCTTCAAAGAAAAAGAAGGAAGTCCAGTTGCCTTCTGAAAAAGCATCTTTGGGACAACCATGACCTGGATGACTGAGAATCTCCATAGAGACTTACTGCCAGATGTTTAATGCGGAGATTGAATCACTTCGTGCTAACATGGAAGCTAGAGGGACCACAGCCAGCTTTAGCGTGCTACACGTATACTTTTGTTAATTCACTCCACATGTGGCACTGTTGCATGCATGCTCAGAACATAAGCCATCTGTTGCTCTAACACAAAAGACTTATTAAGCCAAGTGTCATGTGAAGGTGAGGGACTGAATAAACTTAAGCAGGAAGTGATGAATCACGTTCTTATTTTGCCCCGTCTTAAGAGTCAGCTAAGGAATGACAGCCTCCATCAATCTATTTGCTCTGGTCAGGAGTTTAACTGTAAATTTCAATTTAGAAGTGAAATTAAAAATATGTATTTCACCTATGGTACTGGGCTCTATTTCCCACCAGAATTATGGGATTGAAATGACAAATAAAGACTGAAATTGCAACTAAGTCTGCATTGCAGATCATCTGTACTTATGTTTCTACATACTCAATTTGGTATATAAAAACAGATGTTGCAAAAGGAAAAGTTGTATACAGCTCCTTCCGATCTGCAACTTCTCTGTATTTGTCAACAAGCCAGGATTAGATATTCCCACATTCTAGGCTCCTGACATGGCATACAATTTCCAGTTATTTCAGAGTAGAGAAGCTAATGTGCCACGGTCTGCAGTTATTTCTGCAACATAAGAAGAAACTAAAACATGAGAACTTGTTCTCCTTAAGTCCAAAGAATTCCATATATTAACCTAACTCAGATGCACATCATACACAAAATCAATCTTGAGTTAATCAACTGTCATCTTAAGGAACCATTAGACATTAAAATCAGTTAAGATAATTAATGACTTCAGATGGAAGTTATAGAAGATTCAAGATTCAATGAAACAAAATTGTCAATTTCCAAAAATCTGTTTCCGGGTATCTATTAAATATTGTTAATTGCTTTACAATATTTGTAAAACATTTAACAAGTAGTATTTTCACATCCTATCTGTAAAGCAACATAGAACAGAATTAGTCAGTCTTATTTCCTCCAAACTCAGCACAACAGTTCCCATAACACCTAAGAAGAGTGAAAGGCATCAAGTTAAGAAAAAGCTACCCTAAAGTAATTTTGAGATTGACAGCTGAACATGGATAGATTTAAAAGTGCCAATTAAAATTACAGAGGCAATAGAATCCTTTTATTCTGCCACTTTGAATTAAGATGAAAAAATATAAGATGAAAATCTATTTTAGCAATTTATTTCATGAACATACCAGAATCGTCTAGCCAGTATATCATTGGGGAACTACTGATAATAAAGAAGTACATTAAATTATTTTGTAAGTATTGGAATCCTTGAGCTAAAAAACTTATTCTTTAAAGAAATGTTATCATCTCTGTCTGTACACAAGAGAACCTGCCTACGAACCCCAATCTATTTCTTCAGCTTAACGCTCAACTTTCCATGTTACACACGTTTTATTTCTTAGGTAAAGGAAAAACTCACCTTAGCAAGGAATTAGGAAGGCATTTGTCAGTTGAAGACGGAGAGGCGTCTTGCTGGCTGTGACCTCCACAGTTGAAGAGAGGCCTGGCCAAGTCTAGTGATTAGAGCCGCTTGAGTAAGCGCCTGTCGTCAGGTTTTCCAATGGGGTAAGCAGCCTAATCTGCTCTAGAATCCATATATAGGTCGCTCTGCCCAGTAAAACATATAACCAGGACTGTCTCAACTGAAAACCTCTGGAACCGAGAAGATGCTTTTGGGGTCTGTATTTTCAGTAATATTATGAAGAAAAATTCACAACAATTCTGTTTCCAACAGCAGCCACTGCTGCATCTGGTGGCCTTTTGCTTAAGAAAGTTCTGTGTATGCCCACGTGCCACAAAGGAAGAAAAAAAAAAGCCAGATACAAGTATGAAATGCTAATAATTTATTAAGTATAAACAAAAGGCAACATACTTTTATTAAACAGGATTATAAGTCACTCTGACAATTTACAGTTTCTCATTACAGCATCCCCAATACTTTGTCGCAAAGCTTTACAAGACAATAAACCATGCTTTGCAGATTATTTGACAATTATCTTGCAACAAAAGTTGAACAAGCCTAGCTATTGCATATATGTACCAGACAAAAGCTATGGTTTGTATTAGCAATTTGGGTACAGCATGCTCTTTTATGCCATTAACAGCCATGCCTCAGGTTTCAATTTTTCTTAGGTCGGAGAGAAGGTGATCAGCAGGGTTTGTTGGTTTACTTATACAAATAAAATGTCTTAAACTAAAATAATAATAGTATAGTTTTTCTTAAAGAAATACAGGAAAAAGTATGAGATTGGAGAACGTTGTATTTCCAGTAAAAATAATGCTGAACTAAAGCAACTGGTATTAAATGCTTAGGACTTTGTTTCAGAAGTAAACAGATCTGAAAGAGCATAATACAGCCGACATTTGCTGAGCAGTGGAGAAATATTTGGTATGAACACATTAATAGTAATTTCTCGTTTTTTGCAGTTTATGAATCACAGAATATATGCAGAATGTGTATTGTTTTCAACAACTTTATACAGAAAATCTATATAAGCACATATAGATTTCCTGAAAGCTAGTAATTCACAGGCAAGAAAATCCGTCTGCTTCTTTATATTCTTTCACTTCAAGGAATGATGTATGCTTCTGTACAAACTACAGTTTGCCATTTATTTAAACTGAAAATGTGCCCTTCGATTAGGGTTGCAAACTAGGCTGGCAAGGGATCGTTTATTAAAACACAGAAAGGAGAGCAGGATTACACAGTAATTCAAGATTCCTTCCCTGAACGCCAAACTGTGCTTTGATGGTATAACAAAAATATAAAGAGGCAAAAACCCTTTAGCTTATATTCCTATTCTAATTATCCTACTTTAAGAGAAAAACAAAACAAAACAAATGCTTCCCTAAGTATGTGTAACGTATGTGTGTATAAATGAAAGGCACTTTTTGTGGCAACATGGAAATGCTACTGTTAATTCACGCCATACAACTCCAATTGAGCGCCGCCATTTTTGAAAGCCAAGAACTCAAAACTTCAAAGGAAACCACTATCGGCCCCATCTGTCAATTCATTTAATTCCTGCCTTGTAAGGCCAAGATAACCACAGAGGTGTTTGGGAAGAGAGCTGGATATTTGAACATCTGGATACTGTTCCAAAGGAATCACCTTCGATGTTGCCCGGGGCAGTGAATTCTGAGTTCCCACAGTTTACTTTACATTAAGAACACATACAATAATATTTAGCTGATGCATTAATTCAGTGGTCTCTGAACTATATAAGCTCCATAGATAAGCTGAGCTTCATATCTGGCCTCTATCTGCCAATGTCGCCCTGCAGATCCATGGCAAATTTATTTCTCTATCTCTGAGATTACACTACTGGTTTGATAGCACTTACATCCCATTTAAGGTAAACTCGGATAAATTTCTGACGAAAATCATTTTAAAGTATAGACCAGGGGTAGGCAACCTTGGCTCTTTTATGACTCGTGGACTTCAACTCCCAGAATTCCTGAGCCACGGTTGCCTACCCCAGTATAGACCTATCCCAAACTCCAATACATGCACAGCAGTGATTCATTGATACTTCTTTCGTGATCAAAATCCTGGGATACTAAAGTATAACCAGATGCTAGAGAGGACTTACAAGCACTATAATAAGTATCAATGCCATACTTTTAACAGCATTTTTAAAGACAATACTGGTCTTCTCAAAAGAACTCGTTCTAATGTGAGTTATCAATCATACATTGTTACTTCAGCCTTCCCAAACTGGCAAATTATGCTATGTGTTCGTCTTCAACGGTGCTTCAAAGTTCTCACCTGACAGCAGTGGCCCACGTGTCACTGGAGGGAGGACTTGGAAGGACCCATCCTGGTGGGATGAAATCTCCTTCAGGGTGACCTGCAGGCACCAAGTACTGATCCCATTCGTGCCTTTAATGGAAAAAGTCAGACAACACACTGAGCACTGTTATCTATTCCTTGTCTAAATTATTTCACCCAAAGCATGTATGCGGGGAACTGCAGCTGAATATAGAGTTCATAAACAGGTGCAAAATATTGTAGGAACTTGGTCACAGGCGATTTGAAGGAACTGTGGCTACTCAAGGGACCCTTAAAAAAAGCTATTCTATTAATGTTCCATCTTTCTTTTGAGAGCATGCAATGGTATAGATTAGATCCACTCCAATTTTATCCTCACAAATATTTTGTGGGAGGTAGATTAATTAAAAGAGATTCACACAGGAGGTTTTTACCCTATTACTGAATTAACTTGCTTTATGGATTTGCACTATAAATTAAACGGCTGGCATTTGTATAACAAGTCATGAAGGACTAGCCAAACTTAGTTGTTGTGCAACTACAGCTGTTAGGTTTATAAATAATTTAGTTCAGTATATGGTATAAATGCAACACTGTTTTGGGGGGAATCTGCTGAGCCTGAGTGGTGGGCTGAATCAAAATCTCAAGATTATAATCTGTGATGATACCAATACCAGTTCTACTATAGCCAAAGAGGCTGAATCATGCTAGAGACAGGGTTTATATCTTTCATTAGAGCAATGCTTATATATCACAAAAATTAATTACCTCTCTGAATTTAAGGGGAAATAAAGGAAGCACACAAGGAAATTGGGTGGGAAGGAAGTCACATAACAATTGTCTTTTCCCTCCATTCATTCCAGATTCTGGGTCTAGTTAAAACCTCAATAGGCTTTATTAAACAGGACTATAAATCATTCTGACAATTTACTATTTCTCATTACAGCATCCCCAACAGACAACTTTGTTGCAAAGCTTTATAGGACAATAAAACATGCTTTACACAACTACTGACAGTTATACAATCTGAGTTATGCAGAGTTAACAGTTGCAACTGGACATTAACATCTATAACAAATGGATTAAAGAAGGATTCATACAGCAGCCTGAATTCAAGACAGCTGAGAATTCCCAGGTTTTTATGTAAAACAACATACTCCAACAACTTAATTTGTTTTATTTACTAACAAATGACTCTTACCTGATCTGGATGAGAGCTGGCAAGGAACATTCAGCTTGCAAATAGTATTGTGTGAATGGCTCCAAGAAATGGGCAAGTGGAAATTCTTCTAAAAATATAAATAATAAGTAAGGTTATCTTCACAGTCAGAGAAATAAAAGCCTCCACTAATTGTAAGAATAGATCTCCTTTAAAATTTTATTTTACATTCAGTTAAGTCAGTTCTTGTGTTGACATAGAAGAACTACATAAACAAACATTTTGGGAAATAGTAATTTTTTTTTTACTGTTTGCAACTGAAATAAAAATAAACACTTTTAATGTAACTATTCCCACCCCAAAGTAGCTACGTAAATGAAACAGAACATTCCTGGATTTCAAGGGTAAATCACCTTCTCCCAAAGCGTAAGCATGAACATTCTGAAAATTACCTGGATCCCCAAACAGTTTGGAATCCATTTCACGCTTCTGCTGCAGGAGCTTTTCTCTTTCTTTCTTCTGCTTTTTCTCCATTTCCCGTTTCCTTTCTTCTTCCTGTTCGCCTTCCAGCATGACTCGGAGAGCTCGTTCTTCAGCTTCATAGAGTTCAGTGCGTTTTTTAATTGATGCTCTTAAATTCTGAATTTCACTTTCAAAGGCTTCATCTGCAGCTGGTGGCGGGCAAACCCCTGCACCAAACACACACAAGCTATTTTCTTCTTTGTTTCACAAGAATCCCTAGGTCAGTAGTTCTCAATCTTTCCAAGCTAAAATCCCCATCAAGCTAGGCCTCACCATGAAAGGGGGGGGGGAGTCAATTCTTTCTAAGGACATTTCTATGATTTAGGGGTCTTTTCTCATTTGCAATAGATTTTATTTCAATAACATACTTTGTTTCCCATCTAGCTTTCTGAGTTTGATTTAAATCAGGGGCCTTCAAACTTGGCCCTTTTATGACTTGTGGACTTCAACTCCCAGAATTCCTCAGCCAACGTGCCCAGTCACAATTATGAACAATAATAAAAATCCAGAGAATTTACCTTTCCTTGCTGCTGCTTCTTTTCTTAGTTTCCTAAGCTTTTCTAAGCCACGCAGAATTTCGGCCATCCGCTTTGTGTCTGCTTGCTTTTTTCTCACTTCTGATAACACACTATCGGCAGCAGCTTTAAGTTCTTGTTCCTAAATGACAAGAATGTAAATTAGAAAACAGAGCAGGGAGAATCAGAAGAACCTTGGAAACAGCAGGTAAAACTGGGCCTGTTGGGTGCAAAAATGCAAAGAAAGGGGAATCTTTGTCGAAAACCTTCTTGCTCAGCAACACCGTATGAAGTTCAAGATAATATATGAGCAAAGAAATGAACAGATGGCTGAGCCCTCTCTGAGACATGCTACCTTCATCCCAAAAGGACAACTCAATAGCACAGAAATAAAAAAAACATTTCAGTTGTTTATTTTGTCTCCTATAAGAGATACTTACAAGAAAACTTATAAAATAAGTAAATACAGATAGTCCTTGACTTACAACACAACCGGGCCCAAAATTTCCACTGCTAAGCGAGAGTTGGCCTATTGTACAACCTTTCTTACCACAGTTGTTAAGTGAATCACTACAGTTATTAAGTTAATAACAAGGTTGTTAAGCGAAACTGGCTTCCCCACTGACTTTGCTTGTCCGAAGGGGATCCCGTTACCCCCTGGGATACTGCCACCGTCATAAATGTGAGCCAGCTGTCAAACAGCAGAATGAAAATCACGTGACCATGTTGCAAAGGTTGTATGTGTGAAAAATGGGCATAAGTCACTTCCTTCAGTGCTGTTGTAACTTCGAACAGTCACTAAACGAACGGTTGTAAGTCGAGGACCACCTGTATTTCCTCTGCATCCACGCACCAAAAGAAGCAGAGCATCGAGAAGGCCTCTGCCATCCACTTCCCATCTCCCGGTGACCTTTCTTCCCCGTCGGCCCCCCAGACCCACCCGGTGCCGGTCCTCCGCCTCCTGGGCCCGCCGGGCCCTCCAGAGGTTGACGCGAGCCTCCCGTTCGGCGCGGCGGGCCGCCTCCTCTTGCCGGGCGGCGCGGGCCTCCTGCCTCTGCCGCCTCCGCCGCAGCCTCTTCCGCCGGCCCCGCTCCAGCCGGGCCCGCAGCAGCTGCAGGGCGCCGGGATCGCGCAACGGCCGCACCAGCGCGCGCAGCTCCTCCAGGCCGGCCTCGGCCGCCGCCACCTCGCCCGGCGCCGCCTCATCGCCCCGCCGCCGCCACGCCGCGCACAGCCCCGCCACGCGCGCCAACGCCCGCAGCGCCTCGCCCGCCGCCCGCGCCGCCTCGCCCGCCGTCAGGCCGCGCTCCTGACGGGGAGACCCAGAGGCGGCGGCGGCGGCGGCGGACGGTCGGCGGCGCGCCGCGAAGCGGCTCAGCCAGGCCTCGTCGCGGTCACAGGCCTCGTCGCCCGGCACGTCTGAGGCCTCGGGCGCCGGCCTCGGCGGGCCCTCCGGTCTCCATGGCAACGGCGGCCGCTCCGGCAGCTGCGGCGGGGCCGGTGGCCACTGAGGCGGCGGCGGCGGCGGCGGCGGCAGGAAAGGCGGGCCTGCGGGAGGCGGGAGGCCCCCGGCTGGGAACGGCGGGTAGAGGGCCCGCGGGAAGGGCTGAGGCGGCGGTCCCCGGAAAGGCCCCGGCGGGGGAAGCGCGGGCGGGGGGAAGGCGGCGCGCTGGGGCGGCCCCGCGAAGCGCGAGCCGAAGGGAGGCGGTGGCGGCTGAGCCATAATCAGAACAGGCCGCGCAGGAGCTTCCTCTGGACAAGGTCTTTTCCTGGCTGGGGCAAGAGCAGCGCTCCCTGCAGTCTGGGAGGAGCGTCAGCACGAGGAGGAGGAGCTTTTCGGTGCTGGAGATGCTTTGCGCCAGAACTGAAGAAAGCTTCGTGGATGAAGAAGCGAAACCTCTTCAAGGCAAAGAGGCTGCCTTTTGAGAAAGAAGCACCTTTGAGTATGCGGGGTAGGGTGGAGTGGGTGGGTGGGGTCGAAAGGAAAGCAGGGCAAAGTAAGACCCCCCCCCATTGTTAGCCTCCAGGTTGCATTCTTGCATATGGCCACTAGAACAGGTATAAAACCTCTTGGATTAATTGTGACCTGCCCAGGTTCAAACTCGTGAGTTGGGATTTGGGTGATTTTTTGAAAAGATGGATCGCCAAAGTGTTTCCCATTGGTTCCTCAAGCAGAATATTTAAGATCGGGAAAAAAGTAACGGGTGATTGGTAAAGAGAAAGGAATTCTTTCCCTGCCATTTGCACCTTCAGCAAGGCAGGGATTTAAAGCTAGGGAGTCCAGCTTTTGGTAGAGCTGAATCCTGCACATCTTCCCAAATTGCAGAATTAGCAGGGCAGGGTAAGCAGCTTTCTTGCAGGAAGAGATTTCACTTTTTAAAACCTCTGCTGCATTTCTTTGACACAGGCACGGCCAGCTTGGGTAATCACTAACTGCAAATTCAGATGTGGCCAATCTTCTAAATACCGTATTTGTAGGATAATTAGCATTCTGCACTGATGGCCATTAATGCACCGTGTTATCTGAAATGTAAAGCCATATTCCCCTATTGGAAGCCTACAGAATATCTAAAAAAATACAGTAGTATCTTTTACAAATAGCCTCGCTATCATAATTTCGTTATTGTACATTGGACCAGGAAGATGTGGTCAGAAATCTACAGAAAGCAATAGACTTAGGAAGCTGGCAATCCTGTGAACCAACAGTATTTCGTCTTTTACACTGTCATACTAAAAACTGAGGAGCTGTGCAAAATGAATCTGCAGAGCACAGAAAATCAATTCTTTCAGACTCATTCCCACCACTGATGACAGGTACCCCAAAACAGGTTGAGGAACCTTAAAAGTTATTTGAGTTATCCCTCATCCACCATCAGCCATTACTGGTTATGATGGAGATTCCCATCGGTTTAAACCAGGGGTCTTCAAACTTGGCTCTTTTATGACTTTTGGACTTCAACTTCCAGAATTCCTCAGCCACAAGTCATAAAAGGGCCAAGTTTGAAGACCCCTGGTTTAAACTAAGTGCTTGAAATAACCGGTTTAATTATGTACTTAAACAGAGGTATAATTCAGTAACAGATTTACATCTCGACACAGAGGAAAGACATCAGATTTGTAGGCAGAGACTTTAATTTTCAGAAATGAATCAAGAACATTAGCTGTCCTTTTTCTGTGCTTTTACAAATACTAAAGGATCGAGTTAGCTGAAAAACAAAATTTAAAAGTAACAGGATGCCGTATCAGCATTTGAGCTTATAATTTAAATAAGAATTTTGTGCAAACAGTGCCTACTGATCACATGAAAAATATACAATTTTGTTATGTTCTGGTGTCTCTTCGTGGTATAAGGTAGTCTGGGAAAAATAGTTGGCACCAAAAAAACTGATGCTTGATGGTTTCAGTAGGTTCAATTAATGTACAATATTAAAAAGTTGGCATAACATTTTCAATGTTGTATTGGACTGTTTCGGTAAACCTTTATTCTCCTCATGAAGGGTTGGGACCTACTTTACCTGTTCTTATATTTTTTTTCCTAAGTGACATATATATTTAAATATTAAAAACCTTTGGTATTACACATAATTATTTAATGCATTGCATTATGGTTTTAGGAAAACAAGACTGCAATACTCTAAAATATGGCCATTGTACAGTCTGTTTACTCTAGAGCAATCTGGATGCTTGACAATAAATTTGGGGGTAAAAATACAGCCTTTTAAGCTTCGATATCCCATTTTTAATGGTGGTCTCCAAAATAAATGTAACAAGAAACTCCAGCTCCTACTGCATTTAAAACAGGAGAACTATTAACCCAAGCTGAATGAGCTTCAAAACAAGATAATCAAAATTGTGTATTCATATATAAAATAATTTCCCTACACAATTTTTCAGTTTCCTTGCAAAAATATTAGCTATATACGCATTTTAATTTCTGAGCAAAATTAACCAGATCTTAGAAACTTTTGACTTTGCCCAATGACCATTCAAATCTTTTTCTACGATAGTGACAAACCAGACATCAGTATTTGTTTGTAGCAGTTAGTTATTTTTGAATGTGTTCTTTAACCTCAGAGGGGAATTGCTGATGTCACTTAATCTTCGTTTTAGGAAAGACTGCAGGCTGTCTAAGATATTTCATGTATATGTTAAGGTCCTGAACTCGACAGGGCTTCGATGTGGGAATGGGGGCAAAGGGGGGGGGAATGCCTTTGTGTTACCATTCCTCTTCAGCCATTTTAAAAAGCACATTTTTGTGTTTTTTTTTAATTGAACAAAACTTAATAGACAATTCACTTCCTCAACATTACATCATTTTTAGTCCAAGTGTTCCACTGAACAGACCAGCATGATGTTACAGAAACTCATGATCTGATTTCCCCCATTAGAGAAGCCAAAGTTTTCAACCGGGTGTCCTACAGTCAGGAGGAATCCAATGTTAGCAACAGGTTGCAGAGCCACACATGCTCTCAAACAAAGACAGACACACTGAGTGCTTTTGCTGAAGAACATTTCTGACTGTTTAATGATTTGCGGCGTCTGCTTGGCGGGCCCAACTTTCTTCTTCTACTCCCGAGTCGTATTCTTCCTCTGAGGAATCTTTAGTTGGAGTCCTGTAATTGAAACCAGAAGTAAAGTCAAATGTCTGAAATAATTAAAACAGAGCTCTTATCAGAAAACATAAAGAAAGCAAGCTGAGCTCTTATTAATACCGAAATACAAACTTGCAAGTATGTAGCCTGGAACAAAAGAGGGGTTTAAACTCACACAAAGTGCTTTTTGTGCTCGATAGATTAGATATGCATATAATTTGCTGTGATCTTCAAAGCCTTTTTGTTTAGTAATATATTGCTACCATTGCTGAAGAGGGGAGGAAGTTTAGGAGAAAGGAGCCAATACCCCTCATGATGCTATTGGATGTTAATGGAGCCCTTCCCCATTAATCATGACCAGGAACTAAACCTCAGCAAATGTTGAAGGACTTCTACGAGACATAAAGATACGTTTGTGCAGAAGGATCAAGGGCGACATGATAGCAATGTTCTAATATTTGAAGGGCTGCCACAAAGGCGAAGGGGTCAACCTATTTTCCAAAGCACCAGAAGGCAAGACAAGAAGCAAGGATTCAAGTCTATCACACCAAACTACATTTTTTCTTTATACGTTGATACAGCTGAATTCTGAACATTTAACGATAATCTCCACAGTTAATCTAAATTGCCATTAGCAACTACAGACCTAATTACAGAATGATCACTTACCTAGAAAATTGTCTGAAAGGTTCTTGAGAAGATAAGCCAGCAACCAACCCAATCTTTGAAACTCAACTTTACCTGATGTATCCTGGTTCTTTCTTCCCTTCCACAACATCTTTGTCCACCTCCACACATACTATGTCAGAGTTGGGCACTTCAAACATTGGTTCCAGCAGTAACTTTTCCTAAAGTTGGGAGATGAATAGAACAGTTCAAGGTTGTTGTTGTTTAAAAAAAAAAATCATTGTGCACAATTTCTGTTTTAACAACCATCTAACAGGCAGTTGTTTGGCCTATTTCTGGATCTGAACAAAAGTGCAAAAACTGTGATTCTGCACAAGATATGCACTTGCCGAGGAGTCTACGGAGTTTCTCGGTCATCCAGGCCATGGTTGTCCCAAAGGTGCTTTTTCAAGAGGCAACTGGAGTTTCTTGTTTTTTTTTGAAAACATTTCGCTTCTCATCCAAGAAGCCGAAGAAGCTTCTTGGATGAGAAGCGAAACATCTTCTAAGAAAAACAAGAAACTCCAGTTGCCTCTTGAAAAAGCACCTTTGGGACTTCCAAGGAGACATACCAAAACGCTACTCCCTAGTTTCATGATTATGAATGAAACCCATTCCCTCCTAATCCTGCCTTGCAATCCCAAAAGCAGTGCCGTTACTGCAAGGCCAAGTGAGACAGCTCTTAGAAGTTGTGGAAATGAGGATGGAGGGCACCAACTGAAAGACAAATTTATCTGATTCACGGCAGGCACCCCTCCTCAAATGGAGAGGATGAGTACACAAAAGGTAGCAGTTGCCTTACACACCTCCCATTTACTGAAGTCACGCAAGTATCAATATATTTTTTTCCTAAGCCAGATTTTTACATCGTTTTACCTAAGACGATAAATCGCCAAATATGGACTCTCTTCCTATTACAGATATATTTCAGTTCACAGGGAAGAAACTGAAAAACCGCATTACCACAGAATTGTCTCCTATCAAGAAGGCTGTTTTTTTTTTTTTAAAAAAATGTGGTCCCTTCCCTGACTCAACCCATTACTTCCAGAGATTTTATACACAGACAAACAGAACAGGGAAGAGAGTGCAAGACATTCTGCAGTCAGACACTTAAAATTATTATATGGAGGATTAATGGCTGCAGCAATCGGGAAAAAGTCCCACTCTTACCATTATAGATCGAAGTCCTCTAGCTCCAGTCTTGCGGTCCAGAGCCAACCTGGCTATTGCCTTTAAAGCATCCTCTGTGACAGTTAATTCACACTGTAAGACATAATATTATAGACATTTCAGAATGCTACATTTTCGAATACTTGATTTCCCCCCCCCCATGAGAATTATGGTTCTGTTTACAGAAGTGTAATGGACTTAAAGGCAAAACAGATACTGTCACTACGGGTGGTCCTCGAGTTATGACAATTGAGGTCTGTTGCTAAGCAAGAGTAGCTAAATGAATTTTGCCCCATTTTATGATCTTTCCTGCCACTGTTGTTAAGTGAATCACTGTATTCTATGGATGCTAAGTGAATCTGGCTTCCCCATTGACTTGGCTTCTCAGAAAGCCACAAAAGGGGACCACGT